CTCCTTCGCAACCCAAAGTCCAAGTGCCCTCCTCCTCCTTTTCAGCTTCAATCTCCGCTCTAAATTTCAGCCCCCCAAAGAGTCACCCAAATATCTAGGCGCTTTTCTTTCTCCCACCCCTCAAAGCAAATCCACCCAAACCTTCTCTTTCTCTCTCTTTCTTGCTGTGCAACAATCTTTTGTCTCTCTGATTATCTAAACGGATGTGATCCACTCGTCCCGCTCCGTACCTCTACCCCAGTCGAAATCTCCGGATCCTACCCGTTTTGCTGCCCTCATGTTCATGGATGCTGTTGACACCGTTCCCCGCTTCATTGCCGGAGCCATTTCTGGAGCTCTCACGGGGCTTTTTGCTTTTGGTGATTACACCCCATTTTCTTCTCATCTTAATTTCTTATATATTTCTTACTTTTCATTCAATGATTGCATCCTTATTTGCCACATGCTCGATTAGGCTCTGTTTGGTCGTTTCGTTTGCTAGTTGCTTTTTTATTTCTTCAAAATGTTACCAGCAAGTTGTATATTGGATTGAACAGAGCAAACACATCATCCAACCATAATTTTTCCTGTTATCTAATAACATTTTTATTATTCTTAAAAGTTAGATTTTTTTAGTTTTTAGTTATTTAAAAATATTATCCAAATGTTCTTTTCGTTTTTGGCTTTTGGAAATAAAAACAAGTAACAACAAAACGGAGCATTATTTATTAATGGCATTGTGTTTCGTTAAAATCACAAGCAATTGGGAATAACAGGAAAGTTGTATTTCATGCAAGATGGATAAGTACTTTTCTTACACGGGAAGGGATATTTGATGCATATGAAACACTACAAACTAGGCGTTATCTACCAATGCTCGGTCCAATTTGGCTTTTTTTTTTTTTGGGTAAATATTGTAGTTTTCATACTCCACGGTGCCCTGTGGTTCTTCTAATGAGGCATATATTTGTTCTTTGTTCTATTTTGCAGCAGGAGCTTTTACAGGAGCCGTTATGGGTGCTTTAGCAGGTAGGGCTTCTGATAGTGGCATCCTTCGTGGGGCTGGATTAGGTGCTATAGCTGGGGCCATCCTGTCGGTTGAGGTCTTGGAGGCATCACGTGCCTACTGGTGCTTGGAACGATCTGGCTCAAGGGGTTCGTCATCTATGGTTAGTTTACTAGATTAGCAGCCTTATTGCTTGTGCATGATACACAAATCTTCTTGAAGTTTTCTATTGGTTATGCACAAGGTTAATTGTTTTATTCCTTTGGTTATAGACTATGGTACATGTTTTTGTCTACATTTTGGGTCCAGGCAGACTTCATAGAGGAGCTTCTCCGTGGAAGATTGGTAGAAGAAGGGTTGACACCGGCGATGTTAAATGCCTACAATTGGCAGGTTTTTAATCTTTTCTCTTGCTATATATTTTTTAAGAACTCTAGATGGTCTCTTGTTGGAAATTTATGCACATATCTACATTATTGGTTAGTCATCAAGAAAGTGTCTTTTCCTTTGTGTGTGAATGTGGACAAAATGATTGGTAAATATCTTTAATTTTTCATTTTTAACTAGTGTGTTATGGAGATATGCAAGGGGGCAATCACTCTCTAAAAGGGCTGTGTGGTACTTTGTGCATTGTCAGCTGAAGTTGATAGTTGTCAGTTGGTCTGTAGTTTCAATTAGTGGAGATGGGGAAGAGGACTCTAGGAGAGGATAGAAGATCTTAGTACCATCTAGTTTGACCTAATCTTCTTCAATTTTCTAGTTCTTTTGCTTCAGAGCTTAGTTTATTGTTGACCTCAATCTTTGCATGCTTGCTTTTGGAATGTTGTTTCTTGATAAAGTCTAAAGAACACTTGAAATATCTGTTTATTCAACTTGTAAACTCATTTAAGATCTCTTACAAGTTTCTCTAAGTTGGAGCATTTGCTAGGATTGTGTATTTCAGTTAGTTCCATGTAAATGGTTATAATCTCATTTAAATCAATGTTGCCATGGCTAATTGAGGTTTCTTATTGAGATAGTTTTAGACTTGTTACTTGTTCAAAATCTCATTTCTTGATAATATGTCTTGGTTGATGTCATTCTTGAATTTAGAGGAATATGCATAATGCCAAATGGAATTTGTTTTTACCAATTCTACTTCCCAAAGGTGTCTGACCGGATGATGCATTTTGTTCTTGATGTCTCTTCAAATCTTAGTTTTGCATGTAATTGTGCAAAAAAGTTAAGAAACTTGATAGTAATTCATAGCTTATACTTAAAAGTTAACTTTTAATCTCTCTCTCTCTCTGTCACAGTTAAGCCTTGCTGATATAAGCTATGATGAGATCCATGATATCTATGGTGAAGTTATCTTAAGGGGGTTGTCTAGAGATTCACTGAAGAAACTACCATGTCATGTGATTTTAGATGATATCAAGGCAACTCAGGGCATCTATTGCACAATATGTTTGCAGGTACTACTTTGTGTGTGCATTCTCTTCTGTTTACTAGTGTGATTGTGCTGATAATAACCCTGATGCCATCTTTATGAATCTTACACAAATAATGATGATAGTATTATTAACAACAATAACGACAAATTTTGTCATTGGCAGGATATTAAAGTAGGGGAAACTGCAAGAAGCTTGCCGAAGTGCGAGCACACATTTCACCTGGCATGTGTGGATAAGTGGCTTATAAGGCGAGGTTCATGCCCTGTGTGTAGACGGGATGTGTAGATGTACTAGGCTTTACTGATTGTGTACATAAAGGGCAGTGGGGATTAAACCATTAGTCCATGTACCATTTTGTGCTATAATAAGACAGTTTGTAAATCTGATTCCCATATGGCCTTAATGAAATCGATTATTGAATATATTTATAGGGCAAAGATATAGTTTGTCAAGCTGTAAAGGGTTTCTTTGTGAAAGGGAGAAGTGTTGTAAACAAGTAATAAGATAAATTGGAAGCGGTAAAGAGAAAGATTGGAGTAGTTTTTGAAGTATTGAGTGTCGTGACAGGCAGAAAAGATTAAAAAGATAATAGTTAGAGAATTAGAGAAGAGAACTAGAATGAGAAGTTTTGGAAAAGTCTTCAAATGAATTGTAAATGATTTATAGATAGCGTTAAAAGTGACAATTATTTAAGAATAGATTTTAATACACGTAATGAATAATATTATTAAGAATTGTTTTAATGTGAGCAACCATTATTGGAATATAATAAGTAATAAAAAAAAAACTCATTATATGACCGTTGGAGTAATTAGATGTAATAAAACTTGGTATTGAATAAAAAGTAATAGAGAAGAGGTATGAGTGAAAAGTTATATAAGAACAAGCTAAAAGAAGAAGCTATATGTGAACATGTACAAGAGAATAAGGTGTAGGTGAGAAAGAGAAACACTTGCACTTCAGAAAAAGGTTAAGAGGAAAACATATTAACTACCTCAATATCTGAGCCATCAAGTTAAACTCTGAAGAACTTTTTAAGATGAAAGTAACCCGTGAACACTGTCATTTATTCTCAATTGCTTTTATTGTTATCCGTGTGAAGTGGTTATTGTCTATGAAGTAGTTGTTTTACTTATATTTGTTGTTTCACGTGAAGTAGTGCTCCACTTATTCTAGTTATTTTGTGTAAAGTAGCACTTAACTTGTTTTAGTTATTTTGTATAAAGTAGTGCTTCACTTGTTTTAGTTGTTTTGTGTAAAATAGTGTTTCACTTGTAATGAATGTTCCCATTATTCTCTTCATAATATTATGCTGTAAAATAATTTTTTAAATAATAAGTATTAATAAAAATCAACTATCTACATTTTGCTCCATGAGTAAAAATTCTTACTTCTAGAGAGTTTGTTGTTATGTTATATTCCTTTATCTAGGTTTAAATTTAGTTGTTGGAAGGGCTGTAATAAGGAAAAAGACAACTACACATAAAAGGAAAAATATTACTTCTGAAGTATTTCCTTTTAAAATGATTAGAGTAGGAAAGATTGGCAAAGTTCCTCTTGTTCTTAAAAACTAGGAAAATGAATTTATTAGAGAAAAAGGAAAAGATCGTCTCGGGAAGCAGTTCATGTCAGGCAGGTTGACGAACATCCTTCTAAACTCGTTGGATATGATTGAAATCGTCTATGCCCGGAAGCAGTTCTTCATAAAAGAATTGGTATCCTAAGACGATCAATTTTGAAGTTCAGGTTTGAGTATGGAGAGTTTTCACTGTTTGCTACTAAGCTAGGCTCCAATTCTCAATTTGTTCACGGTTGGGATGGGTGGGTAAACAAGGTGTTGAAGAATCTTGCTTATGTTAAACTTTTCTCAACTGTTCGAATACTTGATGCTGTGCATGTCACTTTCAAGCTCAACGTTCATAGAGAGAAAATGATGGATGTATGGCATACTATTCTTGCTAGGTGGGGTACTTTTTCTCATATTATGAATTTAGCTTGGGGGAAATTTACCTTCACTCTAGAAGATGTGTGTGTTCTCTTAGAACTTTCTTGTATGGGTAAGCCTGATTTTCACTTTATCAAGTTTTTTGAAGAAGAGATATATATTTTAGACCTTTTTCTTGATCTATTCAAGAGTCTGAGTAAAACTTCAAAAGTTGCATAGTTTTCTAATTGGGTAGGGGTGTTTTATAAGAAATTCAATGATAAAAGGAGTCATGATTGGCCCTTTTGAGTGCCCAAGCTACAAGCACGAGCTAGTGGCTTTAATAATATTTTGGTTGGCATGACACATACTTTTAGGATGTCCAAATGATGGTATCTCTTCAACAATCGTTCCTTTAGCAATAAAGATTGTCCACGGAATACGTTGTCCTTTTGCTCCACTGTATTTAAGATCTCTATATAAAAGGATAGAGCTAGATTTGTACCAACTCAAAACTGCTCAATTAGCAAGGCGTTACAAAATTTGGACTTATATGGATGCTTAGTTTGTTTATATGTACTTATGGGAAATGTTTGGTACTTGCGCTCTTGTATCTAATGCATATAATTTTTTTATATTTTTCTGTGAATAACTTTTTATCCAAGAACAATTATAAGCCTTAGGCATGGCGTGATCAGATCTCGAGAGGTAACGTTCTTAAAGTGATAGATGTAACAAAGGAATTCAACCTCAGGGCTTATGTGCAATTTAAAAATGGATTTGATGATTTTGGCATTTATTATGATTGTCACCTATTATAATATGGAAGAATGAGTTCATGAGGAATTAACTTTATGTATGGGTTTGTACCTCTTAATTGCCTTTTATGATTGAAAGTGCTAGTTTAGGTGGAGATATAGACTTTTTTTTTTGTAAAGGTGTATTCTCATTATACAGTGGCATGTTAATTTAGGTTTGACCTATCAACTTCACCTAATTTTCTTCATCAATCACATTTTCTTCTTGTGTTTCTTCATTTCTCATGGTCGGATTTTAACTCTATTTAGATAAACTTGAGAGTTGTACTATCTTATTTTTTGATAGAGTTGCTATCCACACTTTTGGATGGTTTGCTTATTGGTGAGAATGTCTTGAAGAATGGAGATTTTTTGTCATACTAGTAGTTAAATGATACGATATATCCTTACATTTGAATTCCTCATGTCAGTAACATCGATATATCCTTACATTTGAATACTCTTAAAAATAAGAGAAATGTAAATGAAAAAGAATATGTTGCTCCTCATGCTCCTACTTATTGACCAAAAGATAAACATGTGTGTTGAAAAGTGAGTTCATCCTATGTTTCTTCTTCCACTTCTTTTTTTTAAAATTCATTTCCTCATTTTGTATTTTTTTTAATAGATAAACAACTGTAAAAGTATAATTTAACTCGGTTAAAGAAGAAGAGACTTCCGAAGTTGAGACTCAGGAAGAATCATGTAACTTGGAACGTAGTGACAAATTAGTTGACAAGTCTGTTGATGTTGATGAGGCTAAAGTTAAGGGTAAGCCAGGCTCTTTTGATGATTTCATTGATTTGGATGTTCTATTTCCCTCTTATACTTAAAGTTCTAATCTAAACCAAGTCAAAACATATTACTATACTACTTCAATTGATGTTGTTTCATTTTTTTTTAAACTAAGATCATTCTTACTTTGTAGGTTACTCAAGATAAGGTTGTTCCTAACACTGAGGTTATTCATATTGTTGAAGTTGTTTTTGATATCGAAGTTGATTGTAGATCTAAAGCTAAAGCTTTACTTGAGATGGAGCATGATAAGTCTTCTTTGGAAAATGAGTTAGAAAACGTTGCAACAAACATAGCTTTACTGAGAAGGTGTGATGCTGAAGCGCAAGAAAAACTAGATGTCTTTGCCAATATTAAGGATAGTAACTCTTTTCTATGAAGAATGTAGTTGGCTAGGCTTTTGCTTTTTCTTTTGAAAGCTTGTTTGAGCTAGTACTTTTCTATTGATATATGGTATCTCTTTTTTTTTTTTGCAATAGTAATAATAATAATAATAATAATAATAATATACACATGTTGTATAGTAATTCACTTTTTATATTATTGTATGCAACCAAAGGGGAACTTTCAATTTTACACTAAGAAGCTTAACTCAAACTTAACTTGAAGGAAATTAATTAAATCTTTTAAATAAGTAAGCGTAAAAGCTACGACCATTATGAGTAATAAGTTAGGATCAAGAAATAAATGATACGGCTTGCGACCAATAGTATAACATCATTACATCCAAGTTATGAGCAATAAAGCTAGCGATTGGAATATGAATGATAAATTATAGTCAGAGAATAAGCAACAAAGCTTGCGACTAATAGAAAAAATATCATTGCAACTAAAATATGAGCTGTAAAACTTACAACTAAAATAAGAGTGATGAACTATGGTCAAAGAATAAGTGATAAAGCTTGCAACCAGTACTATAATGCCATTGCAAGCAAAGCATGAGCAATAAAGCTAGCAGTTAAATATGAAATTCTTTTTTTCTTCAAATGTAAAATTGCAAATGAAGAGTCAGTCTTAGAAGTATCATACATGGGCGAGAAACGAGTTATTTTAGACCTTGTTTTTCCTAATTAGTAACTCGCTTGCTTGCATTTTATTGTAGAATATTTTGTGCAAGTCTTTATATTCAAGAAGTGAATGATCAATTGTTCAGTGATAATCATAGTACATTGGGTTAGACTTCTCTTTTTTTGTTAGTGGACACGTAACATAAGGCAAGTTCATATGTCTAATACAAAGTCCGTTCATGGAGAAACACTTCATTTTATATAGCAAAACTGTCCATCTTTTTCGATAACACAAAGTTTTTCTATTAAGCTTTTACCTAATGCAATCACTCCTCTTTAGTGGAGTTGCCAAAAATATAAAAAGGTTTTTTGTGAAAGGGAGAAGAAATATTGCAAACAAGTAAAAAGATGTACTGAAGGCAATGGAAAGGAAGATTAAAGTAGTTTTTAAAATACCGAGTGTTGTGGTAGGCAGAGGAGAATAAGAAGACAATAGCTAAAAAATTAGAGAAGAGAATTAGGGAGAAAAGCTCTAGAAAAGTCCCTAAATGAATTGTGAAGGCTTTATATTTAGTGTCGGAAGTGATGGTTACTTAAAAATAGATTTAATACATGTAATGAATAATATTATTAAGAGAAGTTTTAATGTGAGTAACCATTACTGTAACACATTATGTAGATATTAAAATGGTGATTTTATGGCATATAATGAGTAACAGTTAAAAGCTTATTATGTGACAGTTAAAACAATTGGATGTAATAAGACTTGAGAAAAGAAGTTAAGATATGGAGTTCTATGTGAATAGGTATAAGAGAACAAGGTAAAAGTGAAATAGAGAAACACTTGTGTTTCGAGAAAAAGATTAAGAGAAAACTTTTTAACTACCTTTATATTTGAGCAACCAAACTAAACTCTCTAAAACATCTCAAAATGAAATAACCAGTGAACCCTGAAAGTAGTTATTCTGAATGAAATAGTTGTTTTACTTATATTAATTATTCCACATGAAAAAATGTTCTACTTGTTCTAATTGTTTTATGTGAAGTAGTACTTTAATTGTTTTGATTGTTAATTATTCTGCATAAAGTAGTATTTGTTTTAATTATTTTATGTGAAGTAAAGTTTCATTTATTTTTATTCTCATTATTTTTTTTATAATATTATGTTGTAAACTATTTTTTTAGAAAATATGTGTAGACACAATTTCAATCTATATATACTTTTATTTTGCATTTGTTTCTATTATTTGTCTTTTATCTTATTTTACTTTAATTATTTCACAGTTTAATCCCAAGTTCAATCGATTTTAAAATGGGTCTTAATCCTTGAGTCTGTGGCTCAGAAACAAGTCCAAGGGAGGCAATTAGAGGAAAATCGGATTAAACAGAACCAAAACAGATAGAATTATGACTCAGGCAGGATTAGTTAAAAAACTTTCCAGAGATAACAAAAAAGGCCAGCTAACAAAAACCAAACTCATATAATGCAAAAGCTTTGCCAGGTGCATGAAATCGCATCTGATAAAGGTGAAATCATCCTAGGATCAACGGTTGATATTTTCTGCCTCTATATAAAAAAAAATATTTTCAAAACCCTAGAGGAGAGAAATAGAATTGGAGAAACCCTAGGACTAAAAAAATTTCTATTTTTCTGGAAAAAACCTAGCAATTGAAAACCCTAAAATCCCTTGACTAGCAACCGATGAAATACCACAACAAAGACCCAAATAACAATGCAAACAACAAAACAAAAATGCAATAAAAGGGGAAATTCAGATTGGAGAAAGGGGATTGCAGTTGAAAGGGTTGTTAGGGTTTTGAGAGAGGAATTTGGTAGTGTGAGGGAGAAAAAGTTGTTTTTGGGTTTGATAATAATCCCTCTTTATTTTTTTCCGATCGAAAGGAGAAAAGGTAGTTTCGAAGAGGTAAGGAAGAGAAGGGAAGTGTTGGTGAAGGAGGTGCCATTAGTGGTGGAGAAACGGTTGTGGATAGGATTTAAGATTCGAGTTTGAGCTTGTAAGAAAAAGGGAAGGATTTTTAGAGAGAATGGAGAGTGTCCGTTGCTAGAGAGAGAAACAGAATAAGGAAAATCGAGAGAGAGGAGAGAAAAGAAAGCTTATATCCTAGGGTTAGAAAGGATAAAGCGGCGTCATTTTGTTAAGGTTTCCTTGGTAGTTAGAATAGCCTCCAAACGACGTCGCCAAAGGAAGAGCAAGATCATTTCCTTGATCATCCAAAGCAGTGCATTTCGTAAGAAGGGGGTTGAGCTTTTGAAGCAGTTTATGGGCTTTCTATTGATCTGGTTTTCATTAAGCTAATCTAGGCTCAAGCTTTGGGTAAGTTTCAGATCCTTGATTTATTGGGCTTGTGATTTGGATATTTGTATTGATTGGTTTTATTTTAGAAAATTTCTTAATATAGTTTTATGAAAATAGTAAAATAGTAGAAATAAAATATATTTGTGCTATAGTATGAATTTTAGAAGTATTGGGAAAGAAAATTACTAAAATAGGAAAATATAAAAATAGATAAAAATACAAATAAAATATTTAGTAATATAAAATAGATTTGAGTAGATAGAAAAATAATAAAAACATATATTCAATTACATAGAAAAAGATAAATTTAGGTGGAAAAAATTATTTAGTTATAAAAACTGATTTAAACAAAAAAATATAGAGAAATAAATAAACATTTAATTACCAAAAAAATAGATTTGGGTAAATATTAAATATAGGAAAAAATAAACATTTAGTGGTAGAAAAAGATTTATTTAGATTGAGAATATATACATAGAAAACGAATGTATATTTAGATATAGAATATGTTTAGGAAGAAATATAAAACGTGGGAAAAGATGAAATGTTAGACATAATCATAAGATACATAGTTCTGTAAGTTTTTATAGATATATAATGGGAGTGAAAATGAATTAGGAATAATTGAAATTAAAATGTAATGAAACAAATATATGAATATATCAAATTAGTTGAAATAGATAGCTTTATTGTAAAATAAGGATGGGTACAAATAGGGAGACGGAATGAAAAGAGGATAAGATAAAAAATACTAATATAAATAAGATGATTATTTAACTTAATACCGATGATGGGCTGTTCACTCGGAATGCGATTAGTTGCAATTTCGAGTGAATTTTCTTAAGTTAGGAATTTTGATTAAGACTCTACCAGTATGATGGGAAGGTTTTAATTTTGAATTTCGATATTTTTAATTCTAAATAAATAAAAATTATATATGCTCAATTAGTCAAGATAAAAACAAAAAAATAAATATAATAATAAATTTAAGAGAACAAATGACATATATTTACTTAAGGTGTCAAAAGATAAATATAAAATTGTGAAAATAATAATATTCATGGTAACAAATAAATAAATAAAAAGTAATAAAATATTCAGTGATGGTAACTTCATAATAATAAATACATTAAAAATATAAAAGGTAAATATTTAGTTAAAAAAATAGATTTATAAGGGTTATTAAAAAAAGAATAGGACAAATAATAAAAAAGGAAAAAGTTGAATTAAAAAATATATACATAAATAATAATAACTATGAAATGAGATATCTTGCTTAAAAACTATAGAGTTTAGGTAAAACGAAAATCTATATAGTAAAATAGATGACACTTAAATAACATAAAAAATATAATCTATAATATACATGTTTATAAAGAGAAATAATAAAATGGAAATCTCAAAGAAATAACAAAGAAGATATTGAAAAGTTTAAAAATAAATATTAAATTTCATAAACACATCACGCATCATTATTGTATCATTAAATGTTATGACATGCAGATATTTTATACATATGAGTATAAGCCCGATGATGGGAGTTTTTGAAAGATCTTGTGAGGCGAGTTTTCTTCAAGAAATTCTTTAAGTGAAACGATACCTCCGGGTCCTACTAGTACGATGGGAGGGCTCGGAGAATTTCTTTAATAAAAAGTTTTTGCTCCTTATAAATTCGTATTCATGAAAATATTATTTTTTTTAAAACACGAATGATTACCTTGATAATGAGATTTATTTGTTCAATTTGCGAAGACGAGTTTCACGAATAATTTCCTAGATGAGAGAATATTCTCAAATTCAACTAGTATGATGGGCGGATTCAAAAAATATTTCAATAAAAGGTTACCGTCCAACATCGTTTGGATTTTATCACGCATTTCACAAACACATCATATGCACGTCACACTCGTGAAACTAAATAAAATATTTTAATTTACTAATAAAATAGAGATAATATAAATAAATGATAATTAAGGAAACATAATAGAATAAATTTAATTATTAAGGCTCTATTAGAATAATGTACAATTAAGTGGTATCATTCATAGAACAGGAGTCAAAGGGGTGCTAATCATTATCTGTACGTAATCGCACTGCTGAACTCAATTTTAAAAATCATAAATTAATTTATTGTTCTTTCGACGGATTTAAAATTAATTTAAGACTTCATTGATTAAAACCGAGTCAATAGGTGACCAATTGTACTTAAAAAAAATATTGATAGCGACTCTTAGTTTTCTCCATGTCTAACAGTCAAGTGGTCAGACTCATACGTTACGACAACATGTATTAATCAACTATCTACACCAACTTGTATCATAACTTGTGAATGTAACTTTTTCTGATATATATTTTTGGCTTATCTTGTTGGTTGATACTTTCTGCCAACATATATTTTAGGATCCTGGGACAGATTTGGCTGTTAAATTTGCCGTGTATCATAAATCTCGCCAAACGTGAGACCTTGAGAAATTATAGTTCATATGGAGAATGCTGAAGAGACTTAAGAGAAGTAACAGCGTCAACGGGCACTGCAGCTCCTTGGAACCCATATCTTCAAATCAAACAGAGAATGCTAGTATGCTACGGAATTAAAGGGCTTGGGGAACTTCTGCTGTATTAAGTCAAAACTGGATGCTGCACCCATTTCAATTTTTGCATATGGATATATTTGACTAATCAAACAGGCAGAAAACTGCTGGAAATAGGAATCGGATTTTAATGCCTTGGGCAGAAGAGACGTGTCCTGTATTTTCTTTATGCAAAGGCTGCGCTGCATACAGTGGGGAAGCTTGGACAGATGACAACAGCTGGCATGACATTTTAAGACAAAGAACAGATATGGAAGATTGCTTTATTTGACTGGAATGAATGGCACTTGCAGTTCATTACAAAAGGCTTGAGATACATATGAATCATTGAATTCCTAAAACAGACATGATACACCAATTAGGTTTCAAAACAGAGATCTTACCACAGCCTTGATTTCTTTTATGTATCAATCATTTGGCATCAGGACCAATCTGACAATATGATAGTAGCGATTGCTTATAAATAACCATGACATATTATCCGCAAATATGAAGACAGTCATGCCAAATTAAACAATACCTCTTATAAGAAAGACACCAAAAATGATTGGTAGGCATGCTTTAATAATTCTTAATGTATGTTTATTTTTGTTCTGCAGCTTATAGCAGGGTTCCAGCCATCTAGCAAGCAGATACAACCATGGATTATTGAGATGAATTTTAGAGAACAGGCTCCTATAAAATTTTCTTTGTTTTTTTTTTTTTTTGGGTAATAGCTTCAATTTATACACCAAAATATATTCAAGCAAAATTCTGTGAAGTTGGAGGGTAACATACATGGGAATCTAAATACAGGTATCACACATTTGAGCCAATTAGATCTTTGGCGGTCATAAATCACACAGCCACTGCTTCTGGCTTTTTGCTGGTTTTGATTCCTCTAATAGCTGTAAAACAATTTGTTCAAGCCATAAAAATTTGTTAAAATGCATTCATATATATCCACAAATATTAAGAAATAACTCCCTGTCCATACCTTCAGCATAATCTTTGGCTCCAAACACAGCTGAACCAGCGACTAAGGCATTAGCTCCAGCCTCAATAACCTGCCAGCAACGAAAACACTTTTCACTTATATACCATAAATTCACAAGATAAGAAATATTAATACCCATCCCCAAAGGGAGAAGGGAGAAGAGAGAGTTTCAACAGAAACCAACCCCACCCACACCACACAACCACCCCAAAACCCTGTGCCCACCCCAACAGTAACTGATAACTCATAGAATTCTAAGTCACAGGTTACGTATAGTGTATAGATGCATGTTGTCTGAAAGGAAAATCATATGATTCTAATCAGGTACCTTATATGCATTTTTAGGACCAACTCCGCCATCCACTTCAATCCAGGGGTTTACTCCCTGCATGGGAAATATAAAAAGAAAATATCACCAGATTCTCAAGCATAAATACATATAAGACACACAGAGATAGATGTGATCTATACCTTTTCTGCACACATTCTTCTCAAGTCAGAGATTTTCTTCACTTGACTCTCAATAAAGCTCTGCCCACCAAAGCCAGGGTTGACCGACATAATCAAGACTAGATCAACCACTGTCAAATGCAAAAGAGAGATTATCTTGTCAATTTCCTACAATTTAGCCAAATCAATCCAAACATCTGTACTGGATGGGTTACAATGATGTAGGGAAGGACCACTTTTCCTTATTTGCATAGCTGTAGATTGTTTTTGCTTTGTAAGAAAAAGAGGCCTTCAAGTCAAAAGAATGAGTAGGTTGAATTTAGCTATCTTAGAACATTCTTTTAACTACTGCTCAAGGGTTTTTACTTTATGTTATCTTTTATTTCAACTTATCAATAGGCAAGGCCCAGCGTAGACCCACCTGCTTGGCTCTGGTAGGCAATAAGCTGTGTAGGAATCATCCTTGACAGAAAGAAAAGAAAATTGGAAAAAGAACTAGAAAATAAAAACTCACCATCAAGTACATATTCTATTGTACTAAGTGGGGTAGCAGGGTTTAGGACAACTCCAGCTTTAGCGCCTAGACCTTTTATCTATACAATATGAAAATTTTTTAGAAAAATAGGAGAAAACTAACGGCACTCAAACAGTAAAGGAATCTCTGCACAAAAGATATCAAATAGGTGGGCAATTTAATGAAAGCTAAAACAGGCAACGGCAAAAGCAAGCTAGCAAGATATTATTAATCATGGGATGGCAAACAATCAAGAAAATTGCCAATAGTATCAGCAGCACCATGATGATCATAAAAACTACAACCTGTCATAGACAAATTTCAGGCATGCTGAGAAGGACATTCTTAGAAGCAATGATGCAAGGTAGGGGTGAGGGCGATAAACTTAATGCTTAAAAAGCTGTAACTGCAAAAATAGGGATGCAGAAGAACAGAAATTTTGCAGCCATTACAAATGTCCTGATCAAGCATCAATGTTTTCTTTGATCAAGTTTCAGAAGAATGACAGAAATAAATTCAACTAACTTGAACAGGATGAATCTGTAGGACTGTAGGCTCCTAAGAATTCTAAATACTCCCTTCCCATCAGCATATCATGTGGTACGCAGATCAGATACAGGGCTAAAGATTTGTTACACAAATTTCTCCATCGCTAGTTTTCAACCTAAATCAGGCATCAACATAGTGATATTCTAAAATTAAATCAGAGAAAAAATTCCAACTGCATAAGGAAGTGAAATTGTGTATGAGAAAACAGGGCTTACTTTTCTGGTTTACAAGACCTCACTATTATGGAATGCATTCAAGTTTAGGCTTCACTTGGTTTGAAGATAATACTTGCTAGACTCCACTCACATCTTGTACGTATAGTAATATGCGTTAATCAACAGTTCATATAATAAGCAGCTGTTAAGAAACCAAGCAACAGCAAGTGCCAACTCCCCATTTTATTGTGAAAAATATAGAAGAAAGGCTCAGAGAGAGAAAAATCTTACTTGATTAAGTGTACGATGCAAATGGATGGTTGAAGATTGCTCACAGTGAACACTGACTATGTCTGCTCCAGCCTTAATAAAATCTGGAACTCGCTGCTCTGGTTCCACAATCATCTGCAGTGAATCTATCTCAGGTTAGCAAATATTTCTTTTATCGATATTAGTCCGTTGATGATAAAGTATACAAAAAGAAGCATACCAAATGCACATCCAGCGGAAGATCAGTCACAGGTCGTAAGGCATCAACAACAAGAGGTCCAATTGTAATATTTGGAACAAATCGGCCATCCATTACATCAACATGGATCCAATCACAGCCTGCTACTTCCACTGCTTTCACCTAGAAAACCTTGGAAGTCAAACTTCAAAAGCAAGCTCCAAATTGAGTTCAGAATATTATGGGGATAAAACAGACAAGAGCAGCTAACAGGTTTGCCAATGACTTTGGAAAAAGGCAAATACCAAACTAAGTGGAACAATTGTTTAGTTATAATGCAGATTATATTTCAGTGTTTATGTCCCAGAAGCAAGTCGCATATCTGAAAGTTGTTATTTACAGGAAAATCAGAAATTAATTTCATATAAAACCTGCTCCCCCAACTTTGAGAAATTTGCAGAGAGAATAGATGGAGAAACAATGATATCGCTTTTTGAGAATTTATCAACTCGAGCAGTTGCCTTCACTACTGTAGCAATTCTCCTCCTGGAAGTTTAAGAAAAAAAGGTGAAATAAGCATATTAAAGTAGATTGTACGAGACCTGTAAGACCAAAATAAAATCTGATAGAAAATATACATTTATCCTTATCTTCTGAAATAATGTGTAGCCCTATTTAGTACCAAGAAGACAAACACAGATGTGCTTGTAACATGAAAGGCACAAAATATTTTCCTGTATAGAAGAAAAATAATTTCTAAATAAAGGAGTAACAAGAGCCTTAAGAAATTGAATCTAAAAATTCATATTATTTGGCCTAAGAAAGATCTTTTAAACACTCTTCCTTCATTTAGAACGATGAGCGTTACCTAGTTATGGACTTCACTACTGCAGTTATAAATTATGCGGCAAATCGGGGGAGAATAGAAAACAAAGTTCCTCATAATTATAAGCAAATTGAAAAAGTATTGGAAATACTAAAAGCAGCTAAATTCCAGGAACCCAGAATTAAGCTGAACTTTGTTTATTAATTCACATATTATATATTCCATTATAAGCATTATAAATCCTACAACAAGATTGATTGATGGTGTTAAAAATGGGATGCACTTTCCGCCCTAAAAGACCAATTTTTAGGGATGCAGATGCTTATGCACCCTCTTTACGTCACACAGATGTCAAGAATTTCAGGACTGTAAGGAAAAAGGCAATGGCCTCATTGAATTTTCAAATATTTGGTAAGAATTTCAATGGTATTTGCTTCTTATATCGTGTAAATGTGACACCTTCACTTGTGATCTATCTGAAATAGAAAGATATTAAAACATTGTGGAACAGACAACAGAAACAGCATAAATATTAAAAAATATATCGTGAGTGCAATGTGATAATACATAACTTGTACTGAAGATCATAGTTCAAACAGCAATCCTAACTTCAACTTAGCATTAACGTAAGCACACATGTGCGAGTCGGAAATTTGAAAATAATTAGTAGCACTGATCCATCCACAATTTTTTTTCCTAAATAAGCACCAACCATACAATTAAACTTTCATCAAACGGCATATAGGAAACATTAAGTAATTAATAATTTCACTTCCAAAAAAACCATTAAACCTTATTTATTTCATAGCTCATTTGCAGTTTTATATTCTTGATGAATCTTTTAATTGTATCAGGTCCTTCACTTTCATCACAAACATTTCCATCGAAAACATGAAAACAACGAAAATTTCAAAATATAGGCCAAAAGAGTATCAAATTTCGAACAAATTAAGGTTGTTTACAAGGAAAGTTCAAGATTTTCTAGACTGGGTTTATTGCCAAACCCACAAAATTGTATCTTTACCGTCTATATCTCTAATGAGTACACAAAAACGCAATAAGAATCAACCAAAAAGAATGACAACCTATAAAAAGAATTAAAAAAAGAACAAAACAATACCTTGTAAAAGTAAGTGTCTTGGGTTGAGAACGATGAGTCCTTAGAAGCCTAAGTCCCCCGCCAAAGCCATTAACCTGAGTTGATGAACACAACGAAGAAGCTGTTGACATCTTCTACTTCTTTTTTCCCTCTCTTTTCTATCTCAACTAAGAGACTCTGTATCGTTTCTTCGTATTATATAAAGCAGGGGCTTTTGAAGGTTAGGTAGTAAGGGCCCTTTTGTGTGTCAAAATCCCACCAAGGACAGCGTGACCTGGAGCCCCAGATTCTAAAGAGACAATAGTAATTATTGAATATCTAGGAGAAATTTCGGAAGGAAATTTTGTAATGATGACACGTGTAATGTTGATGTGTGGGTTGGATTGCTTATCTTCAATGGTTGGCGCTCCATATTGCTGACGTGTGAAAGGGGAGAGTTGAGTTATGGTTGTTACTGGGGAAATGAGTCAGCATCTGTTCGCCCCATAATTCTGTTGCAACTTGTTAGTACCGATAAACATTGTGGATCCATTTCAAATAGATTGATTTGCATTTCGGGTGATATTGATTCGTTTTATTAGGAGGAAAAATAAAACTTTATCAATTAATGAGTCGGTTTTTTCGATCAGTTCGGGGAAAAAGATTCCCTTCGACGACCGAGCTGATCAGTCGACAAGGTCGATCGACACAATCGACGGTTGCAAAAACAACCGTCGATTACAATAATTGACGGTTGCGGTCGGTTGAACGGTCTCAACCGATCGTTGCCTAGTCCTAATGAGTGGACATTGCATCCAAATGGTTTTGAAAAAACATGAAAAAAGATTTTAAAAGTATGATTCTATGTAAATGATTTTATATAGAAAAGTGCATGGGAACAAGCTGTTTTGAATTGATTTCTATAATATTATGTGAACCCTAGGTCAGAGTGAAATGTTTATACACATAAGCATGTGTGTTCAGCTATGAATAGATTATGATTAGATGCAATGCTTATGCATATAAAAACATGTTGAGCTATGAATAATTTATGACTTGATATGCACTGGGGGGCATGGTAGTTGAGCTCCATGTCATGTAGTTATAATGATTTATGATTGGATGCTAAGTTATGTAGCTATATATTATGCTATGCTTTACTTGGTGTGAAAGATATGTTATGTGATTGTTATGTTTGATGATGCATTGCATGGCCTCGGTGGGATGGACTAGTTCCACAAGAAAAAAGGTAAGAGTACTTGAATATTGTGGCCTTGGTGGGGTGGAGGAAAACCACTAGAGATAAAAGTAAAGGTTGGAGTACCTTACATGCACGATGATCAAAGTTAAATATGCATTCTGCTATGAGATTGCGAATGATGTATATAAGGTTTATGAATATTATGATGGGCAAAATTCAATTGTTTTAAAGTTTATATATGTTATGATGGGTAAGATCTAATTGTTTTAAGGTTTATGTATGTTACGATGAGTAAGACTCAATTGTTTTAAGGTTTATGTACATAAATGGAGAACCAAGAATGGTAAATGGCAATTAAGGCTAATGTGTAGAAGATTGATAGAGAAAAAGCTTGAATAACCTTGGCCTGGATAAATGTGTGTAAGATCCAGTGCATTAGATTGAGATATCGAGATAAGTTAGGTAAGATTTAAAAAGCCTTTTGGGAAGACTGCCCAATTACTTTCTTGTCATCTCACAATGCATTGATTGAATTCGAATGTAAGTTACGAGCACAATAAGATGTTGGAGTTTATGAATGACACCAATAGATGAGTTTAAGGTTGTACAAGTAAGTTTTTGTGGATGAAACTCCTAAATGTATCACGAATTTGTATAGGAAAATACGCATGTTTTCAAGAGAAAATAAGCATGGTTTATAAAGTTTCCAAAGCTACTGCTTATTCCCCTCTACATCCCTCATTAAGTAATTGTACTCACGTTTTTAGTTCTCATGATTTGTAGATCCAAAGCTACTTGAGGTATAGATGCAAGAACGATCCGCATGCGTGGTATGGTAGACTTAATGACAAAGGCATAATTTGGTAATATGTTCCACACCTCAGAGTCACTCCATTGGCAGTCAGTTGTCAATCAGTTATGTGATAGGCCATGTGGCCTTGTATGTATAGACATAAGTGGGATATGGGTCACTAATGAGTTGTCCAGGATAGGTTGATGTAGACAGGTATTGACAAATGATAGAAAAGTTAATGAAAAGGTCGATTATAAGTAACAACAATGTTCTGTACAAGATTGTGCCTCAGGAATATAAGAACAACAATGTATGTTATAAATGCCGATTATAAGTAATGGCACATCTTTTTTTACACAATGTACTGCTTTGCGTATACATGTAAAAGTTTTAAGAAAGTTTAAGTATGGTTTATGTGAACCATTGAATGATCCAATGATAGAACTAATGGAAATGAGACTTTAGTGGGTTTGGTGGATTACCTCCATTTGATCTTCATGTCGATCATGATTCGGGACAAAGTCGTGACAGAACTTTTTTTCTTTATAATACAATATCATTGTATCTATTCCAACTCATTTTAGGCCTAAGAATGTTCAGATACATTGACATTTATTTTTCTTCATATTAGAAGCCTCACCAAGTGTTACATTTACGTGAATAAAAGTAGCAGCAATGCCATGTGAGCAACTTGTGGATGTAGTAAAGGCTTAAGAAAAGGTTGAAGAAAGGCTTCAAAAATCCAAAATTAATGCTCCAAAATTCGAATTCTCTTTTTTCAATTAATAAAGAAAAAGCAAAACTGTTTTTATCACCTTATTTATCATGTCAAAATTTATTCTAGGGAGATGGAAAAAAGATAAAAACCGTATACTTTACAGATATTCCGGGCTATATTAAGGCAAAATGCACATTTTCTCAAAGATGATAGATTCATTACCGCAAATTAAGCAAAAATTAACACGTCACCGACACGTTTAGGTGAAAGAAAAAAAAAAAAAACCATCAACTACCTCGATAATGGCATGTGACATTTCCTCGTGAATCCCAATTCTTGTCTCATTTCCTACTCTAATCCTGTACCCCACGCCACCCAATCTCTGTCCCTCCTCCTTCCCTCGTCCTTCTTCTTCTTCTTCTTCAACAACTTTGCTGCTCTGCTCTCATCTTCTGCTTACTTGTATATTTTAGGCACATGAGAATTTTTGGCTAATAATATGAAGCGGTTCAGGAGAAACGCGGATGAGAATGACCCTGTAATCAACCTGGATCCTGAAGGGGAAGGCTTGTTTTTGAGGGATCAAGAAAGGAAATGTGGGTTGAGTTCAATGAGGTCGATGGGCTTTGTTGTGGTGGCTTTAATGGTTGTTTCGGTCATTTTTTCAGTTTCTGTAGTCCTTCAAGACCCACCGAGCGATGGGGTTTTGGAGTCTGGTAAAGATGTTAGATCCTTTGATGTTTTGGAGTCAAGTAAGGAGGAAAGAGTTCTTGAAGTCAAACCCCAGAAAGGTAACTTCAAATTTGTTAGTTTTTGGTGTGACTGAAAAGCGAAATTCTTTTTGCTTAGAGTATCGATTTTGTGCTTCTGAATGAACCCGAGAAAAGAATTTCTATCTTTTGGGTTGTTTTAAGTTTCAACTTTTGGTATAACTTACAAGTTTTAGTTTTTGTTGGGTCAAGTAATGATTTTTAGTGTTTCTGAATCCTATTTATTGGTTCTACACAGTGCATGTGGAAATGTTGCCATGGCTTGGTTTCTAACTTGCTTGTTTAAGTGGATAAATAGTAGTAGAAGCTTATTCAACACAATGGCTGGCTTTGCTTGAAGCTGCTTAATTTCATTATAGCTGGTATATCTGTCACTACTGTTCCGTGAGGCTCAATTTGATGGTTCCGGATCTAAGATCCATTTTACACTAATGCTTTAACACGGTCATGTCTTTTGTATGCCTTTTAGATCTCCTTTACCTGTCAGTGCCACATTGTCACTAATTTCCATTGCGAAGCAATGTACTAAGCTCAAGTTCCTTTCCATGTCAGCTTGTTTCAGCTCAGTTGGCAGATTGTTGTGTTAACTTGTGGAAGTCTTGTGCGTTACCAAAATTTGTTGAAGGTTACTTGAGAACATTTGTTATTGCCATTCTTTGATTTTTAGATTCTGTACTTTATGCATGAAGTTGTTGTTAGATGCCATTATTAGTGTTTGCACATTTTCTGTCTATCACTTATTTTATTTCATGTTTTAGTGCACTTCTCAAGGTATGAATTGAAACTTGATAATACAATTGCACAGTGCTTTTTTTCCCTTTATTTTGTCTGCAAGGAGAGCACTAGGGTTCAAACCTTGGTTCTCTTACTTCCTGAGGTTCTCTACCCAATCCACCTCTCTCCCCCCAAAAGGCATCTGAGTGAATCACATATGTTGCATATTTTCTTTTGTATATTGCAGGTCTTTTGCACACATCTGGCAGCACAGTTATGCTTCTGTAGATTATAGTTCTCAAGCCCTCCATGTAAAATCTACAAGTTTTGTACTGAGTGCTGAAATCTCTGTAACACTGCCTGAAATTTTAGATGCTTTTTGGCCTGAGAATAGATGCATTGCTAATGCCGTATGAATTTTTGTCCTCACACATATTTCTTTAATTTCATAATGGCATTATTTGCTTAAACTCAATACCTGTTTCTTAAATGAATTTGGAATAATCTTTCTTTTCCCCTTTTTAAGTCGTAGGTCCAGATGATGATTATCCCCCATCTGTTGAGGCGCGTAAAGATAAACTGCTAAGTGGACTTCTTGCAGTTGGACATGATGAAAGATCTTGTGTCAGCAGGTATCAGTCAGTTTTATACCGCAAAGAATTGCTACATAAACCTTCACCCCACCTAATTTCAAGGTTACGGAGTTATGAAGCTCTCCATAAACGGTGTGGGCCGTATACTGAATCATATAACAAAACCTTGGAAATGCTCAAGACCAAGCATCGCCTTGAATCTACAGATTGTAATTATTTAGTGTGGATTTCCTTTAGTGGATTAGGGAATAGGATACTGACCCTAGCTTCAGCATTTCTTTATGCTCTCCTTACGAATCGTGTTCTACTGGTTGACCCTGGAGTTGATATGGTTGATCTTTTTTGCGAACCATTTCCAGAGGTCTCCTGGTTTCTCCCTCCAGATTTCCCCCTTAAAAGTCAGTTCAACAGCTTTGATCAGAAATCTCCTTACTGTTATGGGAGAATGCTTAAGAATAGCACTTTTGCTAATTCAAGCAGGTTGATATCTTCTTCTTTTATATATCTCCATCTGGTCCATGATTATGATGATCAAGACAAGCTTTTTTTCTGTGATGAAGACCAAACTACTCTCCAGAAAGTGCCTTGGTTGATCTTGAAGACAGACAATTATTTTGTCCCATCTCTCTTCTTGATGCCTTCTTTTGACCAGGAACTGAGTAATCTCTTCCCCAGAAAAGAAACAGTTTTCCACTTCTTGGGTCGATATCTCTTCCACCCCACAAATCCTGTTTGGGGACTTATTACTAGATACTATCATGCTTATTTAGCTAAAGCAGATGAAAGGATAGGCATCCAGATCAGGGTCTTTGATACTGGCACTGGTCCGTTCCAACATGTGTTGGATCAGATCATTGCTTGTGCCTTGAAGGAGGATCTTCTACCTAGGGTTAGCAGGGAAAAACCCATAATTAATCAATCTCAGAAGTCTAAAGCTGTGCTAATTACATCTTTGAGTGCTGGTTACTTCGAGAGAGTAAGGGACATGTATTGGGAACATCCAACTGTGACAGGGGAGGTCATCAGTGTTTACCAACCGAGCCATGAAGAGTATCAACAAACAGAGAAGCGTTTTCACAATAGGAAGGCATGGGCTGAAATGTATTTATTGAGCTTGACTGATGTGCTAGTCACTAGCTCATGGTCAACCTTTGGGTATGTTGCTCAAAGCCTTGGAGGGTTGAAGCCATGGATACTCTACAAGCCTGAGAACCAAACAGCCCCAGATCCAGCTTGTCGTCGAGCCATGTCAATGGAGCCATGTTTTCATGCCCCTCCCTTTTATGACTGCAAGGCCAAAAGAGGCATTGACACAGGTGCACTGGTTCCTCATGTAAGGCACTGTGAGGACATGAGCTGGGGTCTTAAGCTTGTTGATAATGGGAGTGAGTTATAGCTGCATGTGTCTGTTGTAAGTCATAATCATAGTTGTGCACGCAGTTTTTCGCTGTAGAATAGCCTGACTGATATTAAATCAAATATACCTTAAATTTGCACTTCAGCAAAGCTTCTTGTTGGCTAATTTTTATATCTTGGTTTCCTAACATTGAAATCTATGATCGTAAAATGCATTCCAGTGATTGGTTGATCACTCATAAGTGGAACGAGCTGTGGCTGGGAAAGTACTTCCCAGGTGGCTTTAAATTGGTCAGGGAGTTCCAACACAGAAAACAAAAAACGGAAAACTCTTCTTCCTTTCTCAAAATTGCTGCAGAGCAAATGTGAGTAAATAAATAATCGGTTTTAACATAATCCTGCTTTAAAAAAATGATTACCATTTTAATATTCAAAAATTAAAATTTTAATTTAGTTCTTCTAAATATTTTAAGGTTAAATAAGTAAATAAGTTTTCAAATTATATTAAGTAAGTCAATTTAATCTTTATCTTTTTATTGCATTCAAATAAATTTTTAAATTGTTATTTTGGGTAAATTGAGTTCCTCACACTAACAGTTGATTAACAGAAATTAGTCAATGCTACGTTATCTTTCACATGAGATGTTGTGTCATCTTGATGACATTAATACCATATGATAGATGACGTGACATAAAAAGTTATGTATTAAGAATTTGATTTTTTTCTTTGTATCTATCTAAATGTCTAAAAATTATTAATTAAGGATTTGAAACAAAAATTAAAAGAAAAAACGAATTGCTTTAAATTGATTACCATCCTTTCTTAATTGATTATCATCTTCTTAACCAAAAAACCCTTTGCTTTTTTCAATATTCTTTAAACTTAACTTATAGTCAAAATGTCCTTTCACTGTCTATAAATTCCTATTACTCTTCTAAAAATCATTTTTTGGAAAGTTTTGAATTTTCAAAAATTATGAAAGATGTCAGGAGAGAATTTATTATTGTTAGTTAATAAAATTCAACATCATTAGATTTTGCTTACAAACTTTAGGGAAGAGAAGAGCATCGAATTTCTCTTATAGATTTTAGGAAAAAAAAAAAAGAATTTGATTGTCTTTTACAGATTCTATGAAAGAGAATAGCATCATATTTTTCTTACAAAATTTAAAGAATAGGAAAAAAGGATTTAACTTTTTTTTATTATCAAATAATATTGTGTGTCTTTGTTAGTTTTAATATTATAAATGCTATGTGTCATAGCTTTATTCTTTCTCTTCTCAAAATCGTTTTTTAGTATTCTCGAATTTTTTTACATTAACTTTCAGTCAAACAATAATGATCTCAATCAAATTGAAAAAGTTGAATTAGTTTTTTTTATTAAGAATGATGATTTCAATTAAAAAGAGGGTAATCAATTAAAAGCGTTGGGAATCAATTCAAAATAATTAATTTTTCTAGAAAATTTTTGTTTCAAGTCCATAATCAATAATATTTAGACATTTGGCAAGGGAAAAACCCAATTTCGAATTAATAATTTTTGATGTCACGTCATTTGTCATGTTAATGTGTCAACATGTCATGTGACAAATATCATAACATAAAAAATTATTGACTGTATCATTGATTAACAGAAGTTAGTGAGAGAAACTTATTTGATTTAAAATAAAAATTCAACTTATTTGAACACAATACAAGAATAGAAGTTAAATTGATTTTTTTGAATATAGTTTGAAAACTTATTTGGGTATTTAGATTATTCTTAATTTGTGCTTTTAAAAATCAAAACACATTTTTTTTGCCTTCTGTTTCTAGAATTAGAAAAACAAGAACCAAAATCAACTTATAGAGCCAATTATATGAAGATTTTCTTTTCTTTTTTCTTTTTTTTTCTTTGAGTAAAATACCTAATCATAATTTCACATGAATACATTAATATTAAAAATAAACAATTTATCTCAAACGTATAAACTGCATTAATAAGACTGAATTTAATATTTCACGATCAAATAAAACCAGATCCAACATTTTACGATCAAATAAAACCAGATCCAACATTTCATGATCAAATCCAACCGTCGAATAATCGATCGACCAAAGGTAAAGTAGAGAGATTTTTTTGTTTTTGAATAGAAAAGAAAAAATTTTAAAAACAATAAATTAGAATTTATATAATATAATAATTTTTAAAATTAATAAAAAATAAACTGGCTCAAAAATTATTAAAACGTCATCAAAATAACGAAAATATTTACGATTAAACTTGTATGTCTAATAAAAATTATTCTTTTAAAACAAATTGTTTATTTCCAATATTAATGGCTCGTGTGAAATTATGATTAAAATTTTAAAAAAATAAAAATATTTTACCCTCTTTTTTTTTTTTTTTCAATTTCTGTTCCTCGAAGCAATGATCTATGCAAAGTCTTAACGTACTGCAGTACTTTTAATCCCTGTCTAAAGTTCGGGACTGTCTCTGCCTTGATTTCTTGAATCATCTCCACCAAAACTGAAAGCAACAACCATAGATGAAAGGTAAAAAGAGGTAAATAAATTGGCATCATATATTCCAAGATAATTTTTAGGCAAACTATTCCACCAGAAGAAGCATTATCAAGTTGCAAATCCGAAGTTTCATCAGTTAATGAGACAAACTTTTAACATATTTCATGTCTGTATATAGAACATAAAACCCATCTCCACCGCCTGACTATATCTTCGCTTGCTTCCATCAATTCTTCCTTCCTTCGCACAAGATGATATGGTATCCATGTCTGCATTATAAAGAACAAAATAACCAAATAATGGTCAGAGCCAAAGAAATTAGAAGATGTGAATGGCATGAACCTGAATTGACAACAAAAATACATACGTTGATTTGAAGGGTGCACTAGTAGCTCCAACAGCTGAGCTGAAGGCAACTTCCTGAAATGGGCCAGCCATTTTACCTCGCGGAAACCATCCTAAATCTCCACCCTTCTTCCCTGATGGACATTCTGAATATTCTTGAGCTATCTGGAAAAAAGAAAGAATATGTTCAATGAAAATCAGAAAACAGTATTGAGGTCAAATAATTCTCTTCGCTCCCAGTCAGTAAGTAGCAAGGATGACGAAGTCCTATTTAAAAATTCACAACACTGTGCAACATTTAAGCAATACTATGATAGTACATTCCCCTTGATAATATGCGTTTGTTCGAGTGTGCACATGAGCACATACATATGGAATTCTGTTGCTGCAGCCAGTATGTATCCCAAAGTTCTAGGCCAAAAACCATGTCAAAGACTGTATCATGCGTGTGTGTTTAGTGCCATATTTTGCTAGAGAAATATGTGGCTAATATTTTTCTCAACAAAAGCAAGCAAATTATAGATGAGCACCATAGTTGTCTATCCTTTTAAGATATTAAAATGAAAATAGCTCAACCTCCCTACTATTCCTTTTTCTTTGATTTTTACTGGTGAATCCAATAAGGACATGACAGATAAAGAAAATAAACAGTAGGCTTATTTGACTTGTTGATAAACATCTACACAGTCAATAACTGTCTCAATTATATTTAAGCAAGTATCAACATGCCAATGTCATAGGCACCGGTGAAAGGAGTAAAGATTGTCCTCCAGATTGTTAATTGTTTCCCTGATGCCCAAATTAGATTTATAGTATAGTATCTCTGAACATTCAATAAAATGAAATCCTGATATTTTCACCTTTGCAAATTCAGCTGGTGGAACCTTATCACCATTGCTAAGCCAACCATCTTCCAGTTTCTTGTAAGCTTCATTGATCTTCCCCTGCTTCTCACATAAGATGTGCCTAGCTGAACAATTGAAAGGAAAAGAAAAGAAGAACAAATAACAAGAACAGCAAGAAGAGTGTAAAACATATGTGATTAAAAGCAATAAACTAACAATGCTTCTACAAAAAGGGCTACAGGAAAAAGAGACCTTTAACATAAGTGCAGGTGCCAAGCCCATCTCCCTTCCCAGCTTTACCTTTACCCTTTGAAGCACTCTCATCACTTCCACCTCCGGCTTGTTTGCCTTTTCCCTTGGGTTCCTTTGGTTTTGAATCCTTCCCCATCTCTCAAAAACCTACTTATTTAAGCATAAATTAAAGTAAACATGAGAGGGAACAGCTTCAACGACACTTACAAAGAATGTCAAGTGGTAAGATTTTGCTGAATTGATAGCCAATGATATAACTATCCAGTTACTAGAGAGAGCTAAAGGAAGAACATGTACCAATTTAGTTAACTATCTATTCGTTTTACTTCAAACGTATAATTTTAAACACTTCATCTACCAAATTATAGCTCACTCTTAAATATCCAAAACTCTGGGTGCCCACCAATCCCAATCTCAACATCAAGTTTTTTTTCTTTAACTCCTTACAGACTGTAAACACTACACTCACTATGTCTAATTCATCAAAAGGGGAACTAATTCAACAACAATATTAAACAGCATGCAAACACAAATGCAAAATAAACACTAAAAAAGAAGGAAACTGGAGAACAAGAAAGAAAAATCAAAAGGGCGAAATTTAATAGAGGCGGAAATTTGATTAAAGGAACATGAATTAAAATAAATAGAGCTTGCGAAGAGAGAAAGAGAGCGATCTGGGTATTGATACTTTTACCTTGTTATGTACTGCAACAAAAGGGTCACAGAACAAAAGTGGAAGTTAGACCTTATGTCTCTGCAGCTTTCGTTGAGGCAGCAGACGGAGAGATCAGATCACTTCTTTCCAAGCCTTCGAGGTAGAAAGGCTTTGGATTTCTACTTAAATGACGTTATTGCCCTCCATTGGTGGGATTATCAATTTTTTTTTAGTTAAAATAGGGTTAGTATTTTATTTTTATATGGGATTATGTTTACAAGTACAATTTATAATTAATCAGCTGTTAATTATATATATATAATATTCGAGTATTTGATGTGTATGACTTTTTTATTTAAAGAACGATTTAAATCTCTTTTTTCTAATTTCAAAAAAATTATAGATATAAATATATTGGATAACTATCAATATACTAAACATAGGAATAAGCTATTAATTAGTTTTAAATTCATGCTATTGCACGGGGTACATAATTTAATTAAAAATATTTACTATTTGAGATTATATTTATTATATTTTAAGCAACGATAAACTAAAATGATAATTTTTAATAACCAAAGGAAAATGATTCTTTTAAAAATAAAAAAAAAATCAATTGAGATTACCTTTATTATATTTTTTATAAGAAACACAATATTTGTTATATAGTAGATGTAATTTTGAGCAGAATATCCTATTTTATTCATATAAACCGAATTTGAAAATATATATTAAGTGCATCAAATATTTTAAAAAAATAAAATGTAAACACGATAGTTGTTTTAATTCAACAAAGGTTGCTAACTAATTAAAAAGAATAAAAGTATATAAACTGTTTAGAATGATTAACGAAAAAAATATAAGAAAGATTATTTGAATTATTTTTTGAGTGCGATAAAATTTGTACATATTAAATGAAGTTTCTCGATAGGTAGTGAATAAAATGAATCTTGATGAGTAGGGCACAAAAGTTTAATTATATTTATTTAACCAAATCTCTACTATCTAAATGAGTTGAATAAAGTAATTTTAGATTTGAGAAATATTGAGATTAAAATTGAATACGAGGATCAAGCTCTCTTTTTCTTGTGTTGTTTACCACCTTTGGATGAGTACTTGGTTGGTACTTCTTGAACGAGAGAACTCGGATATCCTTCAAAGATGCCAAAACTTGTTTGAACTCAAGGAGTGAAAAGACAGGGTGACGGGGAATGAAGGGATACTAGTACTGATGATGCCATGTGTTAGTACTGCAAGATAACAAAGATGGGGAGAGTGGTGATCCTGGTGAGACCAACTCTCGTCACATTCAGAAAGGATTGTTAAATAGTTCAAGTTTGGGGAGAAAGGTCATGCTAAGCGGAATTGTCCTAAACTCAAAGCTAATATAGTTAGTGGCCATGTGGTTTGGTTTTTTCTATCGCCACTGACGAGGCTGACGAGGTTCGAGGCAATTGTTTGTTATGTTTGAGTTTGTTAGATGAGGCTGGTTATGAGGTCTCTAGGAGATTAAGATAGTGTATTGGCTCTTATGTTTACTTTAAGGTAATTTGAATAGAGGTCTCCGTTATTTTCTAGGTCATGTAGCTGAGGAGAAATCAAAATGATCAGCTCATGCACGTGCATATCAGCACGTCTTAAATGCCTGGAAAAAGAATGGCGAGGCGTGGAGGAACTGCTCTGTACATCATCCGCCACCAACTGCCCCATGCCCCCATCCCTATTTAAATTCACTGATAAGGAGCGCTGACTCAAGCTCATCCGCCGAATTTAAAGTTGACCTCTACATCCATATATTCAAGCATATATTCTAAATGGATAGTCATGGACATAAAATTTATTTATTTATTTATTTATTGTATAATTTCTTTTGTTGACATTTTTTATGCCAACCAATGAATATTCAGAACCTCTTACAATAACAAAATTAAAGCATATAGATGAAAAGGTATACAAGATTTGCTACTTATGTATGCACCAAGTTTAAAGGAAGAGAAGAACCAAACACAGTTCATGATGTATGCTTCCATTTTATAAACGTCAAAACAAAGTGGTAGAAGCCCTGACGGATGGCCTTGGGGAAGGCCTGAATGGGGACCACATAATTATACACACCTTTTTCAACACGGAATGACAATGCAATGGTACCTTTTATTTTCATATACCTTCCAACTTAGAAGAGAAGATAATAATTATACTAACACTGATGACAAAACCTATACGCCCGCTTATCTCTAATTTGACATGTTCTAACATCCATTATGTGCCAATTTCAGTCGCTGATTATCTTCTACAGCAAATGATTTTTTCATGGAATTTAAAAAAGTGTGTTAGATGCTTACAGATTCTTAAGTATAAAAGTACATTGGTTGCCTCAAGATGTGTTGTGCTTGAAAGCCTCTCATCGATTGGTCTGTTACTTTAAAGCTATCATCCTAGCACACACATGTATATCACCTGCCAGCAGTTATTTCATGAAGTTTTAACTTTTGGAACTGCATAATGTGAAGCTACTTAGTCTGAGTCTGACAGTGGCATCTGGTAAGAATCTCTTGGTTCCAAATCCGTTACTGAAGGAGGTATATCATTGTTTGGCCCATATCTTCGTTGACGTCTCTCTCTTGGTCTAGGTTTATCCTGGAAAAGCAGATATAGCAGTTGGTGGTCAAAATAGTTAAGATTAAATGAAAAAGGCGGATGATCTGCAAGGAGCGATGATACACAATAAACTAAATACCTTTCTATTCCCTTTGCTGAAAAATGATATAAATGGGTTAAGTAGACCTAATCAGCCAAAATTCAAAGAAGAAAAAGAAACATGGAATGTAGACTCTATAGCGTGTGCAATGTTTTCCTAAACAAATTATTAAAGCTTGATCTATTGACCTAATTACGAAAAAAAGGCTAACCAGTACCCATGTATCACATGCAGACATTAGGATTATGTTGAAAAAAATCAGACCTACAATAATACTGCTGGAGGGATGGTAAGAGAAGATTTCATCTATTGAGCAGATATTAGGAGGATAGTGAGCCTGGCCAAGAAGACTTAATGTGGACATATCAGCATGCTAAAAATCTAGGAAAAAGCATACATGCATAATTCATTGCCAATCGATTGTCACAGTCTTGTTCATGTACCAGAACAAGAGAGATAAGCAAGCAACTTGCATGAATAAAAAAGTGGTATTTCACAGTTGCCAAGCAAACTCTTCTAAGGCATGTAGTACAACTGAGATGAAACATAAAGTACCCCTTGTACTCAGTCACTAGCTTCCAATGAATGCATGTTAGAGTGGTCATTGTTATTGATTCCAATCAGTGGCATAAAATAGCTACATTACTTGGAGACTGTCAAAGAGAAGCATTCTTAACCATTACTTACGTCATTATCTGCTTGGCCTGGTTGACTTGACTGAACCGGACGATTCTGTTGACTCCTCATTAACCAGATGCTACCGAAGGACATCAATGATCCCAAAAGCAATGCTGGACCAATCCTTGGATCTCCTAGGTAATCATATAATCGAATTATGATGCCCTGCATTTTTTGCTTTGTTCCCATGCTTTTGGAAAGTATGCTTTGTTGACCTCTTGACCAGAAAGGCTCTGTGTCCTCAGGAACTAGCTCTGGTGTTTTTACCCTCTGCAATGGAAATAGACCTAAGTGCTTAAATGGCAAATTAAAGGTTTCAAAGGAGATTGATATGGAGATATAATTTGAATAACAACTGCAACGGAACACCATAGTACAGTTCAACCATAAATATATAGATGCCAACACACCTCTCTTCCTTTTGGCATTAAGCCCAAGGATCTTCAGGGACAGCATATCGTCCCTTTCTAAATTATAATATAAACAACAGAAATTTGTTATAGGAAATATTACTTGCCTAAAATTTCTGAATGAAGCAAGATAGATTGATTACTAAAATAATCTAATGAGAAGGTTATCTCTAGGTGTAGAATTTGCCCACAACCACAAGTTCATCTTAGGCAATAGTTACAAGAGTCAACATAAAAGGGTTAAAACAAAGAGCATCCAAAAATATTGGCCTTCTTTTAGAAATTACTCAAAGAAACAAGATGCTGCATACATAGAATGGGAGATTCCTGGAGTCACCATCCTTGATTATATTTGATATCCACTGGATGATCTGCAAAAATGGCAAAAATATTGACAGACAATTAGGAAAATACGTATTTATTGGCTTCAGAATGTTCAAAATATCTCTGCTCTCTTACAGAGTGACGAATACAGAACATCAGAAAAAAAAACTAATGCAAACTATGAACTTATAAGACTACTTATGAACATACCTGATGCTGTAGCTAAACATATGAGAGAGATGCTTATACCTGGGAAATTTCAGCTGAACCGTTGTAAGTCACTGAAAGTTGTGCTGCAGGATCAACTTCATGTTGGTGGAATTCCCATATACTTTTTGCCTTCCTCTCAACCTTAACAGCATCTTCAGACGCATTCCTTTCGTATCGGATAATGAATAGCTGGGGGACATCAGTTGGAACCCTCCTTGGTCCACATGTTTCATAACCATTTTCAGTATTAAGGTAGAAAAAACAATAGTTCTGAATAAGACTCAAAAAAAAAAAAAAAAAAAAAAAAAAAAAAAAAAAAAAAAAAAAAGAAATCAGAGGTTACATACAATAAGATGAATATAATCAAATCTTCACACAAAAATTGGTAACCTAATTGTTAGGAGATAGTAAGTTGGTTTGGCCAGTTTAAGCATTAGCTATTACAATATTAGAGCCCACATGACCTAAAGGTATAGCTTTTGAACCAAGGCACCCGTTGTCATGCTAAAAATTAATTCCAACACAAGGTAGTGATGGCCTGCGCTTTGACCAATTGCATAGCCCATTAGGCGTGAGCACGCATATAAGGAAGAGTAATAGGGGTTACAATGATGGTTTTGCAACCTATCAGCTAAAGCTTTTTGTTTAAAAAGGTTTGCTATCCCAGATAATTAATACAGTTTCAGGGCTTGCTTAAACATTGATATCAATCAATATATTTGAGACAAAATTAAAGAGAGGGAGAGATAGAATGACTGTAGGACCAGGTTCAGGCTGAGCCATCATGCCATCTAATTCAGATCTTATTATAAGCCCTTTTCAATTCTCACGTGTTCCCCATACCTCTTAAATATACGCTAAACATAAGAAAAAAGAGCAAGCTAGGCAAATCACAGAGGGAGCTCCTTTTTAACTTTAAAATCACAAGCATCTTTGAAGAACAATTCAAAATAAAAAAATAATAATAAATAATAAAGAACGCACCTTTTGGGCTTCCCCATCAAGCCAGCTAAAAGTTAATCGCTTGTTTTTTAAAGCAACAGCAGCTGTTATTGATTGCTCATCTTCAATTGCTGCATTCAACTCGCTAGACTTCGATAAAGTTTCTTGGACCCTGCGCATGGTCTACAACCTAATTTAGTTCACACATTTTCTAAAATCAAAGAGAAAATGGCCACCACATTGTACTCTGTAATGCTAAATAAGATTAAATATCGTTGCAATACATTGAAGACGGATACACATGCACATGCATGAGTGTCAATGCAGTCATACATTTAAATAAATTCATTGTGTATTATCCTTTGTGTTATTCAATTTTCTATCCTACCAGGCTGCCAGTTTCAAGCTCAACAAATCTTTTCATATTATCTACACTTATGGTTTTCTCTTCAGATTAGAGTATAAATTTTCCTCATTAAAAGATATAATATCTATCAAGCAACAATAATCTGGAGAAGTGCTAATCCTATATTTCAAAAGACAAGATTGTTAATACCAAAATTGATATATTCCTTACAGAAAAACTGCAACATCTATAAATAAAATAAAATATAGACAAAATCATCCTCATTGCTCTCAAATGCTAGAGAAACAGTTTAATTCTACATTGTTTAAACTATCAAAAAGAGATTAAAAGAAATGCTGGAGCAAATGATGCAACAGAAAAGATATGAACAGAACTGAACATGTGGAACGTAAATTAGTGCAAAGAAGCTTACTTCTCGCATACTATCAAGCTCCAGACCCTGCCTTCCCGCTAGAATTGCACAATACCAGGTCAGAGTATCATGCCCAGCACGAGAATAGCCACGAGCATCACAACCTAGTTCCTTTGATGTCAAACTCCTTAATTGAGGAAGCACTGAAAAGACACCCAGAGACATAAAGCCCTTTCTTAAGGAAAGAAAAGCAAGAAAAGTTTGCTCCACAAAAAAACTTGTACTGCATTGCTATGATCTGCCAAGTTTTTCTGCATTTCACACTTACGTAACAAGATGTAGCACTTGTATAACATTTACACAACTCAGTGAAGAAAAAGTAAAAACATTTAGACAAAGTGAGACGACAAGCGGATATCATTTTCAACCAGAGATTAGAAAAGCAGCCAGGTTCCTGTTCTTCCCTTTCCACTTACAAACTAAACAAAGTAATATCATGTTCCACGCTGGCATTAAGCAAGCAATTTTCCAACATTCTACTCAACAATTCATCACATGCTTAAAATTTGCTATACTGAACTTGATTTCATAGACGATATCTCTTTGAAACATTAGACCTGTTAAGTAGTGGCAGAAAACAGTCAGAGTAATAACTTACAATTGTTTTTTACCAAAAATTATAACTTCTATTCTGATTTTACCATCAAAGTTGAAGGGATTACTGAGCTTGGCACCAAGTATTTGACTAATGAAACCAAGCTGCTCATTCATCCAGTGAACACTTTAAATGAATCCAATACTTTCCTTCCGTTAGAAATAGAACTACATGCACTTTTATAACCAACTACAGTACAAGTTTCATTAACATCTCTAATAACTATTGCAAAAAGTATGCAACTGATGGATCAAAATGCTCTGCTGAGATACAAGTCAAATCACTGTGCATCTTGACTTTCTACAACATTCAATTCAAGCAAATCAAATTAAGCATACATTCAATTTGGAAAACACAATGCTTTCTACTGCCTACTATGCAGTGTGCACCAGACTAACAACACCATGCCACCTGAGACCACTGACTTGTAGTCCTTTAGATGTTGCATATAGGATAATATGCTTGGATATTCTACAACTATATATTTTAAAAACTAGAGATTGGGAATGTCATGACATATCCACTGGCAGTGAATGTCAACGTCCAGCATACTTATATTCTTGAGTCTTGACTTATCTACTCTTATAATGACAATATGTACATAAAATGGATGAAGGAACCATGAGGGAGTGCAATTTTCTCAGCAACCAACGGCAGTGGGTAATGTAAGTTCTTGTCATTAAGTGATCAAAAGAAATTACTACTAAGATGCCATTTAGTTGTAGCCCTTGCTACTTTCTCTTTACGATTTGCATTTTGCTACCTCAAAGTTGCTATAAAGAAAAAAGTAAATGGTAAAATAAAATCATATTTGATTGAAAGTAAAACATGCATTTTGTTCAATATGAAAGTTAAATTTTATTTTTTAATTCTTCAAAATACTAGCTTTTATATCCAAATACGCTTAACTAAAATAAAGAAATGCTCAGAGATACCTTGCTGTTTATTCTGTTCCAAGACATCTAAAAACCACGAATCATTGACTGATCCTGCAAATAGTACTCACTGCTCAGCTTGGTATATAGTAATTAATTTGAAGTTATATAGGCATGTAAAACTTATAAGAAATAGAATACGTATGCATTAACATGCCATGATACACAAGAGGTTTTAGACCCGGATCTTTCAAGAACACTACAGCTGGTGCAGACTCCACTCCAAACCTGTTAATGGTTTACAAAAATCTGTGAAGGTAGATACTACCATAGAAAATGAAAGAAGACTAAACTCAAGGATTGCAATTATAAGATAAATATCAGAGATCAAAAGTTACACTTGAATTATTTAAATGTGATATATATGGGATTCTTCTCTAATTTTTATGCATATGCAGTGCATAAGAGAAATCAAATCTACATACGTAGTCCACCAAACAGAAAATTCCTCTTCACGCCATAGGACACAGGCAAAAGTGGCATAGTTCCAATAATCCTTTGCAGCTTGACGCATTACAGGAGTTGCACGCTCCCCTGTTTTTGAGAAGAAAATCACTTTTACCTATGAGTCAAAAGCATGAAACAATCCACTATTACAATGGGATGATATATGCGAATCAAAAAAAGCTAACAAAACAGAAGAACATTCAATATTGAACATGTTCAAATGTTGATAATATACATATTAAACCAAAAAAAAACAGAACATTAAGGATAAGAGTGCCATTGCCGATAGCACATTATACAATATCTGCAGTGACATATACATAAGACATGACTAGTAAAATGCATCAGAACCAAGTACCAATTGATAGGCCAACTGCACATGATGAAATTTTTCCACGGATCAACAATAACAGCATGGTAATCTATGCTATGCTAATAGACTGTAAAAAAACAAAGGCTCTCAAAAGAAACTAATGAAGTGACATTATAGTCAATGTTAGAGGTTCGTTAAACGCTTATAGAAAGCTTTCAAATGAATGCTAAAACGTGATGGAACAATAGCGTAATACAAAATGGAACAGCCCCTACTCTGAGAATCCACTTTAGCAAGACCTTGCATATAATTAGCCTATTCGGGACAAATTCACAATCATTATGTTAGTACTTTTCTATTGATTTATTATACATAATTTAACAGGATCCTTGTTCTTATATAATATCCAAGTACGAACTAGAATTTTTTTTCTTTTCCTTTCTATTTGAAATTTCTTTCTACTTGATGAGGACTATGCTAAAGTATATAATATACAAACAGACAACCCTGGGCGGCTAAGTGGAGAAGAATGAAATCAAACCCGGGAAGACCCTGCCCTACTGAAGGAAAACCTGAAAAAGCCCCCATGAAAAACCTAAAATAACCCCAACATTTAGATAAATCACGAAATGGAAGCTCTGTAAACCCCAAAAAGCCCCTAACTTAGCAATGCAATCCCCAAAACACCCACCATCCAATGCCAAAATTAACAGTCAGCACACAACTTTCGCTGAAAACCGAAAATGCCCTCACAATAACAGGAAATGACAAACACGTCACAATTTAAGGAGGCTTTGAATTTTAAAATTATATGATGTAAGATAGAAAAGATGTAACATAAATTAAATGGATGGTTTTCACCAAAAAGTATTGAAGGTGAAAACTATTAAACAAACGCCACTTGAACAATTTAACAAAATCTGGTGAATAAAAAAAATTCTCTCTAAGATTTTTAGGACCTTTATTATGTGAAAAAAACTGCAAGACATGTTTTCAACAAAAAAATAAAAAAACCTGCAAGACATGAAACTGCTTCAAGCTACAAAGTCTAATAAACTGAAAAAACAATAAAAAACTGTTTAAAGTCATGAAACAAAAGCTATAACAATAACCAAGAAAAATGAAAGAAAAAGAAAACCAACTGACAAGTGCAGTCTGGCACTAAAATCAGATCTTCTGTAAAATTAATATGAAAACTAAAAAAAAAAAAATTTGATTCATACTACTCCCTTCATTCAAAATTGAATGCCTAAGTTTAACTTTGTGTGCAGCTTAAGAAAAAATTTTGATTTTAGGGTTTAATTAACAATATATTGATGTTTAATAATTTTTAATGCCTAAAAATAGAATATAGAAAAAGAAAGAAACTAGTTATTTAAACAAAGAAAGAAGACATAGTTTTGGAACATCCCCCTACAGCAAGGGATCATCTAATTTAGAAAAAAGGGAGTTGAAGAAATATACAGAGAACCAAATCATAAGAGACTAAAGCAAATAAAATAATGTTGACAATTTTAGAGAATAATGAACACTGAAACTGGAAAAAATAAAGATAAAGGTCATACCTTATGGGGACTGCTTTTTGCGAGAAACCTTGGTCCCTGACGTAAAAAAACAAAGTCATTTTCTGCAATTGTAGGAAGAAGTTGACACACACAGTATGACACCAACAGGGCAAGGTTAACAGAACTCAAAAAGCAAATATAATAATAAACTAAAACTTTAAAAAGAATCATCTAAAAGTGAAAAAAAATTGATGAACATTATTGTTTTAACAGTGAAATGAGTTAGATACTCTGAAATATGGTAGGGCATCTAGTATGACAAGTATAATATCAAATTTGATCTTAAAGAAATTTCAAAATGAATGCATAATCTCCTAACTATTCCTTGCATTGACTTCAAATGGATAAGATTAAAAATTTATCCCCACATTTAAATAAGACTAAAAGTCGGATATGGAAATAGCAACAAACGATGTGCATACGAAGTTCTGATGAAGTAAAGCTTCTCAAAAGAACAACAGATACATTCAGATAATTCATCCAACTGATGCATTCAAATAGAATAGGTTATGCTTGCAAAAAGATGACGATAGTAAATTAAAAAAAAAGAACCTTTGTTAAGAATAAAAAGCCACATGACAACATCTAAGAGATGCTATATGTTACCAGTGACTCCTTCGAATGGTAAAAGATGCGAGGCAAGTTGAGCACAGCTATTGCAAACCAATCTGTAACTGCATCAACAGAGAGCTCTCCCTCAAACCTATACATTAGTATCGATTTAATATATCATTACAGCATTAAAAAAAATTTCTAAGAAGTACGGAAGTCATTCAGTTACAGTAAATGGGAGATATGATCAAATAAGGTGTATAATGTCCAAATTGAAACATAGATTCTGCTTTTCACTATATAAAACAAACTGCAACTCAAGTATCTTAAATTTGTTCTAATAGGATTTATTTGTTATTGATTTTTAAAACACATTTGATTTCAAGCCTCAACTGCAACTTACCTGATTAGACAGTCTGAAGTTTTGCACCCTGATGGAAAAGCAACCAATGAAGGAAGACCTGTATACATTATTATTAAGTTCAATATACAACAGAAGTGCTTGGCCATGCTTAAGTTAAAGTTTCAGAAACAAAACATGACAAAACAGCAGTTGGAGTTGTCAGTGGCATAGCATCTACTAGGAGGAAGAATAAAAGCATGTTGAAATGAATTCAACGACAGAAAGAAACATAAATTGCTTCCAGTCGGGAAATACATTAACTGGCATCCTTAATCATTTAGCTGCTTCATAGCACCTCCATTTTACTCATTTGTTGGCAAAACTGACAGCACAATAGTCGGAATTACATCAGCTTCAAGCTTTATAACACTGTGACACTTTCACCTGAGTGGTTATTTAGTTAACCTTTGGAAGCAACATTCAGTATTGCTACATGTAAGACATACATACTGCTGATATTAATCATTAGATATTAAAACATCTATCTGCTTTCATTTAGACCACTGAATTACAAGCCCATGATCCAGCTTTCCTGAACAGTTCTTGACTAGTTTCAGAGTGACAAAACCAAGGAAGCTATCAATGAACTTAACATCAGCCAACCTAAAACCAGCAACACAGTAGAAGAGTTGCTCTGGTTAGATTGACAACTTTAACATAAATAAGTCCATAGTCTTCATTGCAGCAAATCATGAAAGGTTTTACTTATCTAACTATTTCTACCAACAAGGGGAATTCCTCTATATTCCGGCAAATTTTTTAAGAGTAAATAGCAGAAACAATGATAGGGAGCTATATATTAGCTGGTTATACCAGTGATTATAACACCACTAACCATTCCTGAAGAAAAACTGGCCCGTTGGCTTTCTCTCAGCAAGGTAGGCTGCAATTTGGATCTCACCAAGCTCTACCATACCAATATTTGCAACCCCATTCAACAAAGCAGCTGAATATGAAGAGAAGACATAATTCATTAAAATATTAAAGCAATGATCACAATTAGAATAAAGATTTCTAAAGAATTATACGACCTGAGAAAGCATCAACTAACACAAATAAGACTACTGCATTCTAATTTTTATATTCAATGCAATATCCTCGTCCTTTTGTTTTTTTTTTTTTTTGCATCTTTAGAGAGAGAGAGAGAAATGAAAGAAGCTTAATCAGAAGAATTATGTAAATATTATGTCTAGAACATTGGAAAAGGAGCACATAAACATATGTATCATAATTTTTGTACATCTTGGATTCTTGTATTTCATTTCTGGTTCCTTTTCTCCACACATAAAATTGGCAGTAGCACTTAGAAAGAAGACCAATTTGTTTAGTTTGAATAACCATTATTCCAAATAAGCCTACAAAGTAATTATAGATTCACATTTCAATATCAACGACATATGCATTATTGGAATTTCAGAAATTGTTGAGATTGGAAAAATCTTCCTGCAGTACGATAATCAACAAGGAAAATTATATCATGTCATCTCCCAACATCTCTAATTAACTGTACAATCTTATAAATCATATATCTCTTTCGCAACAACAATAATAACAATACTAACAATAAGAAGAAGACAAAGAAGAAGAAAAAGAAGAAGAAGAAGAACAATAATAATCCAAAGATTTATCGAAAATTTAGGTTGCAGTGACAGAAACAGTTCGTACAGATTCCTACTCAAAAGTTTAGCACTTGCTTTTCAACATTGAACTTTTCAAATTATCAAAGAACACCAAAATTCAGTTAACCTTCATCCTAACTTGATTGGCAAAACATAAATTGGTGTCTCTGTGTAGGAGCTCAATGCTTATCCTTTCTTACCATAGGTGGCATTAAGCAGTGTTCCTTCTTGATGCTCCAGATTTTGTACGTTATCAGGTTGAAAGCTAGAGTTTTAGAATGGTTCAAGTTGGGACCAGATAGCATTGAGATGCTCTTGGTGTGACTTTAAGCAGTCAGGAAATGCAAATAATAACAATAACAATCTCTGGTACATTGGTAACTTAATAATTTAACATCTGAGTTAAACATCAATATATGTAATCGTATTACAATCTATATCTTTATCATAGTGGCTGAACAAGTAGACAAGAGGTTAAAAATAAAGTGACAAATGAAGTTCATAGGCAATTAACAACAGAAAAGTACACTTTGTAACATACTAATAAATATTCTTACTAGATCTCAACCTTTCAGCAAAAGAACATACCAATTCTTTTCCAAGAATTAGAAAATTGAGCACAGTGATTGCTGCCAGATGAATACACCTAAATGAAAATCTCAATTAGCATTTATTATGATCTTGTAAACTGTTAATTATAAGAAACAAATTGCAGATAATCCAGGATAAAATTTCATTAGGCACTAACTAGCAATAATAAAACCGAAAACCCATATTCCAAGAGGAAACAGAATAAAATTCACCCATGTTAAGGCCGAGACTAATGCTACCTTTTACACCTGAACTTTTGCAATGGGATATCTATAGGTGATACACCAGAATAGAAAAGTGACTTAGCCGCTGTTTGGCCCAGCTTTTAGAACAACTTCTCTATTCCCAAAAGTTGAAGTTAGGCCAAATAGGGTTTTGGAAAAGAACTTTATAGCTACTCCAAGTTAAAACTTCGAAATGGCCAGCAATGAGAAGTTCAAAGACATTTAATAAAAATTTCACAAAACAATAAAATTCTTGTTTACTTCAAGGAACTTCAAATAATTTCAATCTATTAGCTTTTTTCCAATAACCTTTAATTCAACAATGCCTTTTACAGAAGTTGCAACCATGACAAACAGACTCTTTATTTCAGTGTAGAGGGTAGATGGGACATTAGTTGGACATAAGTAGTGAAAACAAGCTTGGTTGGTCTTAGTCATGCAGATTTGAGGAAAAGGATTCAAAACTTATGATTGAACTAGGATAAAAAAATGACATAGTTAAGTTGAGTTTAAGCATGTCATAGTGTAGATGCTTGATTTTGGCTGCTAACTTATTATTTCTTTTAAGAGTTGTTTTACAGCAGTGCAATGTTATACAAAGATCAATGAGAAGAACTAGAACGAGTGGAACAACTATATCACGCAAGCAAAAATGAAAGTAACCCAGAACAAGTAGCAAGGTTCACAGATTAGTTTCAACTTGACATATTCTGGAGAGTTTGGCTTGGTGGCTCAGATATGGAGGTAGTTAGAAAGTCTTCCTCTTAATCTTTTCTTGATGTACAAGTGTTTCTTCCTCTTACCTTTTCCTGAAATATAAGTGTTTCTCCCTTTTACCTTTTCTAACTTATCTTCTTCTATCATACCTTTTCCTTCTTACCTTGTTCACTCATACATTTTTCCCTCACACCTTTTCCCTCTTAACTTCTACTCAAGAACAAGTTTTATTACACTACTAATAATCATAAAAAACCATTACTTCAATAACCACATAATGGGTTTCAAACTGTTACTCATTGTATTAAAAAAACCACTATTTCAATGTCCACATAAAGGGTTTTAGTAACAGTTACCCATTACGTACATTAAATCTATTCTTAATAATGTTATTCATTATGTGCATTAAAGTTTGTTCTTGAGTAATTGTTTCTCATTGCTCTAATAAAAAGCTTTCACAATTCACTTTGGAAAACAAGATTTCTTGAGCTAATGCAAACACATTTTCACTCTTAGCTCTCTCTCTCTAAATATTCTCTCTTAAATTCTCCTCTATTTAGTCTTTCTCCACCCTATTCTCAACCTTAGTCTGCCGCTCACTTATTCTTCTCCACCTGCCACAACACTTGGTGTTTCAAGAGTTGCCACAATCTTCCTCTCTGCCACCTCCAACACATCATTTTACTTATTTACAACACCTACTCTCTCCTTATCATAAGAATCCTTATACAATTTATCGACTCCACTGGAGAGAAAATGATAGCAATCACATCAAATTAAAATTCAAAAACACAGCCAATAGCATTAAGGATATGTAAAACATCAACGATAAAGGACAACAATAAAATCCTAAAGTTGAAACAAAAGGCATCAATGTTGAGTTGCCTTGTCATTAGTTTAACAATAAGCAAATCTTAATGGGGTTTTCAAAACTTTAAAGAAAGGTCCCTCTGCCAATCTTTATTTGGAATAACTAATTGAACTGTATGAAAGGAAACTATCATGATGACACATTAATGTATTAATATGTTCTCTAGAGAGCAAAGAATGAATTTTTGATACTGAAAATGGGTTAACATCTTGGCAAGCACATAGTTAGCATGGCAAGCACTCTATCCAAGAATAAGATTTTAGCCACCTCAACTCTAATTAAGTAGAGTATTTAAGGGAAATTGGCATAAGTTAGAGAGAGCTTTAAGAAGTTTAAGCTGAATTCACCAACAAACAAACCAAATTGAAACCCAAAACAGTAAAGTTGTTAGATTGCCAAGTTACCAATTCAACATAGGGCTAGCCCAAGGTTAGCATCTTTGTCTGTTTGTCTATGAAGTCTGAACTACTACCTATGAACTCTTAGTTTTCTCCAATGAACAAAGTGATTGTTAAACTACCTTTAGGAGTTAGCAATGTGGGCTATCTGAATATTGAATATTTGACTACCTCAATGGTGAAATTTGACTTTGGAATGCATCTTTCTTGGAGATTAGGAAAAGGAAGAGAAATCATAGACAAGCAATGAGGAACTCTAGTTAATTGTAGCAATACTATGCAAACATACAAGGTCAATGGTTGTACCTGAAGTAACCATGGTTTGGAATCTTGAAACATAGACTGAAAATCATTGGAAGTAATCGTATTGAAAGCATCATCTCCAATATCTGCAGGAAGTGGCCATTCATCAGACTCATGTAAATCTTCTTAAAGCTAGACTTGGAATGAAAGTATATAAAAACATGAAAATGTAAAAACAAAAGGTAATATTCACAATTTCACTACCAGAAGCATCAGCATGCAGTAACGGCAGCTCTATGTTAGAAAACTTTTCCTCTGCATATAGGTGGCTGACTTTTTCCACAACATGCTGCAGGCCAAGGTGATAATACCATTCAATAAAACAATGCAAAACCAAACACAGAGCTCTCTTTCTCTGTTGGGAGATGAGTGAAGGGAGATAAAAATACACACAACAAGTAGGCTGCAATGAAATACTTACAAGTTGCTCATCAATACCAAAGACATCATAGTTTCTTTTCCATATAGGATTTGTCAGGAGCTCATAAGCATATCGAATCTGCAAGGAGATAAACACCATCTACTCACTTATGGATTCAGATATCATTTCACCTCAGCACCTTCAGAAACATGGGCTACAATGTTCATTTAGCTAAGGCTAAATGTGACTTCATCTAATCTCAAGGAGAAACTTAGGCTACATTTTCATTGTTGCTTTCACTACTTGCTTTTTATGTCTTAAAAACTTAATTAAAAGCAAAAGCAAATGGTAGAATATAAAATCATAATTGGTGAAAAAATATAACCGATTGGCTAAAGTGCAACACAATTCTAGCATAACTATTCTATATTAAAGTAAAAAAAAAAATCCATTTTGTTCTACAAAAACAATGCAATATTTATTTTTAGTTCTACAAAAATATTACTATTCAGTTTTGTATTTGCATGCACTTTGTGCTTTACTACTTTCAAAAGTGAAAAGCAAGTGCAGCAAAGAAAGTAGCTTAAATAAACTATTGATAATTTAAAATGCAAGGAGCAATAAATTGTATCGAAACAACCAGCAATTTTTTATTTATTTATTTTTGCAGAAGCAAACAATCATTGACGAATGAAGAAGATTAACTAACTGACCTTGATAAATTCAGTAGTAGTAGGAACTTCCAACCCTGAATTCCTGAAACGATCACGTTTTAAAACATTTGAACAATAGTAAATGCCTAAATCAAATTGAACAAACTTATTATTCTTTTTAAATAAATCGTAAATAAGAAAAGGAAAGACAGAAAGAATTACCACTTAGATTCAAGATTCTCGTACGCCTCTTTCACTGCTTCCGTTGAACTATACGTCTTTATTCCCAAAACTACCATTCATCAAAAAGAATCTATATAACTAGCTTTCTTTAAAAAAATCCAGCAAGTATTTTTCTATGTACAATATATGGACACGAAAACGTATGTATGCATTGGGACTAACCATCGTAATGAGAAGGGGGGAAAGAGCGAGGGAGAAGAACGAGTTGATATAACATGGCGAGAGAGAAGAGAATCAGAGGCACCATGTAGGCTTTGATTTTCGCTGCAAAATCTCCGGCCATGGCTGTATATCGCCACTGACTCCTCTGGTTATTCAGAGATAGACTGAGCTAAGCGAGCGAGCGAGTTAGAAAATTGAAGAGCTTGAGTTGTGGGGAAAAAAAAAACTCAAAAGTATAAAAAAGCAATTAAAGTAAATAAAGCACTCTTTGACTCTTTGACTCTCCCCCGAGGTTTACTTAAAATAGTGGTTTTAATTCGATGATTACTATGTAAATCGAGGTTTAGTGCAGTCGGGGTTCGGGTTCAAAGTACCGCGGCACGTGAAGTGGAACACGTGGTGTAAAGTCATTGGGTATAGTAAATAGATTCTGAACTGAAACCTGGTTTACTTACCGTATTAAATCCTAAAATTCCTTCCTGATTGGAGGATTTTCTAGCCTAAAGAAGTAAAGATGAAGAGATTCTCGGATTAATCGCTGTGTTATGTAAGTTTAACATTGTGATTACAACCACATAATTTATATATCATAAAAAAAAAGTAATGAACAAATCAATTAATTAAACAAATCAAGATATAATTGAATTCAAAATCACTTAAAATGAAACTTAAACTTTTTTTTAGATTTGAAAAAGAAAGATTCGAATTTTAATTTTTAAATAAAAGATCATATATTAATTAATAAATCAAATAGTAAAATGAAACTTGAACTTAAAATTTAACAATTTCAAACTTAATGATGGCCATTAAGGTAATATTTTATTTTCAAAAAATGATTTTTCTTGTTTTCTTTAAGTTTGGTTATGCAGTTGAACTTCTATTTGAACCTAATTTATGCTAATTCATTATAAAATATTTTAAAATTAAAATTATTTTTTTGAATCAATTGAATAAATAATATATATGTTAGTAAATTTGAAAAAAAAATCGTTTAGATCCAAAAAAAAGTATAATAATTTGATTAAAACAAATAAAAATACGCATGTGTGTTTAAACTTTAAACTAATGTATTAATTGATTCATAGATTACATTATCAATGTTGAGCTTAAGGTAAGGTATGTTGAAGTATTTAATCACGTGTGTAATTTATGTGACAATTATGTAAATAGTGTTGTAGTTTACTTAGGGGCGGTCTATGTAAATATTAGGGAGTTAGTTGATTAGTATAAATACTTTGCTTTAACTGACAAGCCGATGCTAACATGATTCAATACAGAATTCAAGATTAAACTCTTTCTTTCTTATGTTTCCTTTCTTGCTTGCATTTAGGGGGCCTTTGTTGTAATGTAGGTGAAACATTTCCTATAATTAAATTGTTGAGAATCACATTACAATATTTGGTTTATATTTTACACAAGGTAAAGTGATCTCACCACTCACTTGTACATTTTGGTCAAGCCCCATCTTATATTTTCTCGTGTTCTTCTTCTTCTTTTTTCCATGTTTGGTTGTGGTTTTAGAATCATCTTCAATCTTTATGAGATTCCTTGAGCCAACCTTTTTTTTGTTTGAATCAAAGCTTTTGTGGGCTGCTTGGATCTTTGAAGTTTGAATATTTCCTGTCCCTGACTTGTTGGATTTTTAAAGAGAAAGGAAAAATTATTATACCTTTCTAGTTCTGTTTTCGTTTTTCTTCTTGTCATCGGTTTACCTTGATTTTCATCCTGTCTTTCTCGCTGTTATGCCTTCATGCCTTGTTGCATTTCTGACTCTGTTTCCTGTCTAGGATTTTATTTCTGATGTTAGGAGCTCCACTATTTTGATGGCTCCTCCCCATTTTTATTAATAAAGTTGTTATTCGAAAAAATATTTTAATAATTAATATTTAAATATTATATTAGTTTTGTTATATTATTATTTATTATGTTAAAGGTTATAGTTGAAAAGATAAAAATTACATTAAAAATAAGCTAAATTTATTTAATTTTATATTTTCATATATAAGGGTAATTTAGTAAAATCATATTACATTCCTAAAAAATACTTTTAAGCCAAACATTACAACGTAATTTTCTTAACAATAATGATTTCAAAAAAAATTAAGACATATTTTTGTCCAAAAAAGGTGTTTGAGCTATTTTTCCTTTTTCAAAAATGATCATTCCACTAAAATATAAAAGGGAAAAGAAATTATGAAATCTAGTCATGTAGTGCTTTTGTATTCCTTATCATGACACACACACACACATATATATATATATATATATATATTTGATTTTAATACATATATTCATTGAAGGGGATTAAGAAAATAACACAAGAGATTGGCAGTTCAAGTTTGCATCTAGGCCATTCAATGACTTTTTTGTCAAAATGCCCCACCAATTTTTTAGGAATTTGGAATATTTTATTGTGGAAATAACTTATCCTTACAGATATTAGAACCACAAAAGAAAAATGGATTCAATTAAACATATTCTTCTATATGGAAAATAATGGTGCCTCCCCCACCATTATTCTTTTTAATCTTTTTTCAATGTTAAAGAAAAAAACGTCAACCTTCCCCCCTTCTCAACACTTGTTCAATCCTATTGACATAATAATACCCATGATTCCCTCTACTCACTGTTGTTACGTGCAAGTCTGAGAACTCGACCGCTAGATGCGGGAAATATTGAGAATCGCCACCAATCTTTTTTTTAGGTGTGATTGGCCACCTATTGACTTAATTCTAATCAACGAAATCTTAAATTAATTTTAAGTCCATTGAGAGAACGTTAAACTAGTCTACGATTTTTAGGACTGTGTTCAGGAGTATGGTTATGCTTGAGGAAGAATTAGCACTCTCATGACGTCTGTTCCATGAACGGTACCATTTGATTATAGATTATCTTATTGGAGCCTTAATTCTTAAGTTTATTATGTTTTCTTAGTTATTATTCATTTTTTTATCCTCTATTTTATTAAGAATTTTATTTAACTTTACAAGTATGATGTGTACTTGATACATTCATGAAATGCATGGTATAAAATTCAAATAATGTAGAACAAAAACCTTTTATTGAGGATATTTTCCGAATCTGCCCATTATATTGGTAGGATCCGAGGATATTCTCTTATCTAGAGAATTATCCGAAAAGCTTACCTTCTCAAATTTGACGAATAAATCCCATTCTTGGGGTTATCGTACATGTTTTAGAAAAAATAGTCTTTTTGTGAATGTAGACTTATTACAAGCAAAAGCCATTTTATTAAAGATATTCTCCGAGCCCTTCCATCGTACTAGTGGGACTCAGGGATATCCTTTCACCTAGAAAACTTTTCAAAAAAAACTCGCCTTTGCAAGATCTTTCAAAAACTCCCATCATCGAGACTTATACTCATTTACATAAATATCTACATGCCATGACATTTACAATGTAATAGTGATGCATGATATGCTTATGAAATTATTATTTTATTTCTAAGTCCTCTTATATCTTCTTTGTTATTTCTTTAAGATTTTCCTTTTTTATTGTTTCTTGTTATAAATACATATATTATATTTTTCTATGTTATTTAGATGTATATCTATTTTACTATGTAATTTTTTTTACTCAAACTCTATAGTCTCTAATCAAGATATCTTATTTCATAATTGTATGTATATTTTGATTCGATACTTCCTCTTTTTATTATCTATCCTATTTCCTTTTTATAACACCTATAAATTTATTATATGTATTTTATATAAACTAATATTTAACTTTTATACTTTAAATATATTTATTATTATGAATTTTCCATCATTTAATATTTATTTACTTATTTATTTATTCATTGTCGTGAGTATTATTATAATTTTTTTATAATTTTATATCTATCTTTTATATTTTGACTAATTTATTATATACTAATTTTTGATTATTTAAGATTGGAAACATCGAAATTTTAAAATTAAAACCTTATCATTGTACTGGCAGAGTCTTAATTTAAATCCCGAGCCTAGGAAAAATTCCTTTGGAACTGCGACTCCTTGCGTTTCGAACGAACATCCCATCATCGATATTAAATTAAATAATTATCTTGTTTATATAAATAATTCTATATCTGACCCATTTTCATTCTCTCTTCATTTGTATCCCTCTCTATTTTATATAAAGCTTTCTTTTTCAGCTAATTTGATATCTACATATTTTATTCTATTACATTTTTATTTTTTAAAAATTTTTTCTAATTCATTTTCAATCCAATTTTACCTATATAAATTCACATAATTATGCATTCTATGATTATGTCTAACATTCAGCTCTTTTTAGGCAATGAGAAATGACATGGTGTGAGATTTTAGGTATATATATCACGTCAAAATATAATGAAATATGTTTTAAAATTAATACCTAGAAGAATGAGAAATACTTTTTAAAAGGCTTATAAGCATTATTTTAGCATATATCTATTAGTATAAGCTTTATAAGCTAATCTGTGGTTGTATGAGAATTGAAATTTTGAGATATTCATGTATGACATTTTGTTATTAATAATAACATTGAGGTAATTCTTTATCCATAAATTTGTGATTTAATTACTTTTTGTACTTATGTAGATAAAGCGAATAGAATTATATATGCTTTGTAAAGAAATTGTATTGGGATACGATTATGAAATCCTTATGCATCAAGGCATTGTTCTTAAAAGCTTCTAATCATTGTATTATGAGACAAGGCATCAATAATACTCAAAGATCGGTACATCTTATGTTCTTGACTTGTGAACTAAACAATCACTCTCATAGGTAGAAGTATAGAAATACTTAGAACTAGCATGTGGGTGCTTACCATGGAAGAGCAAGTTCACTAAACATGACCCGCCATGAGAAGTACATTTGGTACCTCACTCAAGTGTTTATGCAACACTTTTATATATCAATTGTGTAACTACTCCCTAAACTTAAGACACCAAGTTGTCTTGTATGTGAAATGCTATGCTTTGATTTTATCCCTACAGATGCCTAACCAAGGATACCAAAATAGGATGTTTTTGGGTATAGTATGAAGCATATGAAGATAAATAAGTGGTCAAGATAGGAATCATCATCCCAAGTGATTCAAGGGAAAATATCTCATTAGTTCTTGACTGACATTAGCTTAATCAAATCTTTAGCTAAGGTGATTAGGAGATTATGCAATGAGTTTCATAAGTCTCTATAAAGCTAATGATCTAACTGTAGGAACAAATATGAAGGTTAATAAGAGTAGGTATTGCACCAAACTCTTATCATCTTCGACATATATGATGTGAGAATGAATTACACTGAAAAACTATACATTGACTCTTCTAACAATTAGGTGACCATGATGCATTGCTAGATGCTAATTATGGTTTATAGAATTAAATTAGTTAATTTAAAATTGAATTTGATTTATTTAAATTAATTAATTAATAATATTATA